AACCGATGTTGCCTTCTGACATGGACACTGTTCTCAGGGGCACTGAACCAGCCCCCCGCAAGTTCCAGAGCCCTTGAAAGCACCCACTTTTCCCAACCCCACCCCGTCCTTTTTTGCGGACACTTCACCTCCTCTGGCTGGTGACCACTGTGCCCCCTGGAGCCCCAGCCCTCTAGCCGCCCCTGTGCCCTGTGAAGCTAATGCAGCCGAGACCTCGCCAGCCCGTGGGGTCCACACGGAAACAACGAGCCTTTGTGGCGCAGGGCCTGGCAGAGGCCCCGGCTCCCACGTCCTGGAAGGCAGGCCAGTGTGGCCCCGACCCGAGGCCTCCGGCTGCTCAGACAGCTGGGTGGGTGAGCGGTCAGCACCGGGAGCCCTTTCCCGAGAGAATGGCCGGCGGTGCTCCAGGGCCAGCAGCAGCCGGCGCCCCCGCGAGGCCGGCAGCCTCTTCCCAGACACCCCTCCAGAGGGCCTGGGGCCGGGGGCCTTTGTCCCTGGCAGCAAGACTGGGGTCCTTGTGCACATGGATTCTTCTCACGGGAAGAATTCCCTGTCCACACATTAGATGGGGTCACTCCTACTCCGGGTCAAGGCAGGACCGTCTTCCCGGAAAACACCTCGATTTCTTCCCAAGACCTTGGCAGCCACAGTGGCCCAGCCCGGGACCTGGGCCAGCATCCTTCTCTGTGACCCCGAGAAGGTCCTAGAGGTGTCCCCTCCCACCCTGGGCCCTGTTCTAGGAGTTTCTGAAGTCACCTCAGGCGTCTCGAACCCTGTGACCACGAGAGTGTGGCTGTACCTGCTGAGGTGGCCCCAGGACACTCTGCCCACCCCTGGTCACAGGTGGGAAATGGTGACCAGGAAAGGTAGGCTCACCCTGGTTTCCCCAGCCCCTGCCCCACTCTGTCAGCGTCCTGCACACTGTGGGGCCCGAGGCCCAGGAGAGAGCAAGTGGACGGGAGCCAGGCGAGGGCCCCGCCTCCTCCCAGGCCAGGCAGCTACTGCCCAGAGGCCAGAGCTGCCCAGGGTCGGATGGGTCAGCTCAGAGTGCGGGACCCCGGCTCTGCCCCTCCCACGGCAGTGTCCTCTGCAGGCCGTGGCTGTCCCTCCGGGGTCCGACTGAACCGATCCCCCAGCGAAGGTGGAGGGTGCCGCATGAGCGCAGAGGGTGGAGGCTACCAGCCCCCCCGAGGCCTTCCACCTGGGGAGGCCACCCTCACCCCCTGCAGGGCCTGTGCTGCATCGCGGGGCCCTCTCGACCCCTTGCTCCTGGGCACAGAGGTGCTGGCCCCGGGGCTCATGCACTCCCAGAAGGCGCTCAGTGCTTCTTCCCGTCCCCAACTTTATAAACGATCACCAAAAGCAAAGGGGCAAATCGGTCCCCGTCCTCCCCTCCCCTCACCCCACCGCCACCCCGGGCTCCGAGGCCGCCTCTGGTCTGACTCCAAACCCACTTTCACACTAACTCGGGTTCAGGGAGAATGTGTGACACCCCAGTCACTGCGCTGGGACCTCAGGGTGAGCAACTGAGACTCTCTCCTCTTAAGGCCTGAAATGCAGACGGAAACGACCGCTAGCAACTTCCTCTGGCCGAGGTGGCTCAGCGGTGAGAGCGTCAGCCCGCAGACCAGAGTTGCGGGTTCGAGTACGGCCAAGGGCACGTCCCTCGGTTCCCGGCCCTGGTGGGGGGCGTGCAGGAGGCAACCAGCCGATGCCTCTCCCACATCCGTCTCTCTCTCCCTCCGTCTGGAAAATGTCCTCCGGGAGGACAGCAGCCTGCTGCCCGAGGCCGAGAGGTGATCTCTCACTTGCTTCCCAGAAGCCTGGAGCTGACCCTGCTGTGTCCTGACCACGAGGCCCCAGGCTGGGAAGCAGGTGGACCAGACGCTTCGGGGGGCGGGGTGCAGGGGCACCCGGAGAGGGACGGGCCCCACCGGCTGCTCCTGCTGCCACCAACCAGCCTGGCTGGAAGGTTCCAGAAGACCTCGCTGGGACCGGACACCGGTCCTGGTTCCCGGACACCTCAGGTCACCGAAGGGAGCCTGGTGGCCACGCAGGAGGTCAGAGTTCCACTGGGAGAAGGGCCCCGTTCCCGAGGCTCCCACAGGACACGCACGTGGGCGGCAGCGGGAGACGCAGACGGCGAGCGGTCCGTGCATCAGCGGCCGTCTGTTATTCCGCTTACAGACCCGCTGCCTAGTTACCGGCCTCCGAGAACACTATCAGCCTCAGACCACAGACGCTACGGCGGCCTGAGCCCGCATCTGGGGTGAGGTCACCGTGCTGGCTGCCAGGCCGGGGGCGTCCGGGGACATCAGGCTTGCGAGGGGAGTCTCCCTCATTGGCCCTGACCCTCCTCAGCTGTTCTCATGGCGGGGGGGGGGGGTGCTTACCCACAGGGTCCGCAGGACAGAAGGGCTGTGGGGTGTGGTGAGAAGTCGGTGTCCCCAGTTTCCCCAGGACAGAGCTGTGTGGCCGCGGACCCAGGGCTCAGACCAGGCCCTTTGCAGGACGGGAGCCCGCGGGGCGGTGGCGGGCCCAGGTGCAACCCACAGCTCTGTCCCGGCCACTCGGACGTTGTGTTTCATTTTCACTGATGTTACTGACGCTACATAAAAACGTTCTTACTAAACCACGTTACAGGCTCAAAGGGTTCATAGTCCGAGAGCCAACAGCAAGCAGTTAGCTCTGAGCTCCCCTCTGCTTCTGGTTGGTTCTTTGCAAAAATAGGGACTTGTGGGCGGAGTCGGCCGGGACGAGGGGCTCCCCTGGGCCCAGGCGCTCTGTCGCCCAACCCGCCCTGGGCCTGTCCAACGAGGGGTTTCTCATGAAAACACTGTTGCTGCAGCACAGGGGAGGGAGTTCCAGCCTCTTCCTTGCGTGGGAACCTCCGTCACTGTGCCTGGTCTTTCTAAGCCCTGGCCGGTGTGCGCAGCGGTTAGAGCGTTGGCCTGCAGACCAGAGTCCCGGGCTCAGTTCCGGTCAGGGGCACGCACCTCGGTTGCGGTTTGATCCCTGGTCACGGCTGGGCCGTGCGAGAGGCAGCCAGTCAATGTCTCTCTCACGTTGATGTTTTCTCTCCCTCCTTCCGTCCCTCCCTCCCTGTCTGAAAAATCAATGGAAAAATATCCTTGGGTGAGGATTTACAAAAACAATAAAAAGATAAATAAGACAAAAACAGTAATTACGGAACCTGGGGGAGCATCTCTGTGCGGGACAAGACTGGGCACAGAGAGCTGAGCTTCTGTGACGTGCTGTTTGGCCTCGTTCTGTGCCCGACACTTGGGGTGAACGGGGTCATCGGTGCCGCAGTCCTGAGGCCGGAGGCTCCAGCTGGGCAAAGGCCACAGCTAAGACGTCACAGCCAGGCCTGCACCCGGCACCGGCAGGAGGTGACCTAGCAGGGGACGCCCGAGTCCGAGGGCCCTGCCTGGAACACGCAAGCCCATCACTCTGGGGGGCGCTGCACGGAGTAACTCAGGGTTCCGGCCCAACGGAGGCGACCAGTTTCTAGGTGAAACAAACACATCTGGCCTCTGGGTCAGGAGAAGGGTTTGCGCCGTGGGTCCCGTTCCGAGGCGCGGAGGTGGCGCCCACGGCCCAGGCTCAGCCGCGCCAGGGGCCACTCAGCAAGCAGGCCTCCCGTCCCCTCCCCCTGCTCTGACTCAGCCATGAGGGTGGCAGTGGTTGTCCTCAGCTAATGCCCGGTGCAGTGACCGAGGCACGGACCGCTCTCCAGGCCTGTCCGCTGCGGACCCGCACACCACCGTCCGCGGCAGCCCCGCCTCTGCATCCCGACTGGTTTTGCAAACGAGAACCAGGTGAGGCTGCAGCTGGTCTGAACAGCGGGTGCAGGACTCCTGCAGCTGCAACGTTCAGGGCTCTCGATGGAGGGTAGACCGTTGCGTGGAGATTCGATTTTGCTAAAGCACGTTGGAAATGGCGTTTGCACAAGACCTAGATTCGTGCTCGGCGCTGGAAAAGGAGCGTGTAGAGGCCAGGAGACTCCCGGTCCGCCCCCTCCCCCGAGTCTGTCACAGGAAAGCCACCGGAGTCTCTGCAAACGACAGGGACCCAGGCCCTCGCGCCCTGCTCGGGGGCGTCCGGCAGAGCTGCCTGGAAGCAGCCAGGCTGACGCCCGGAGTCATACTGGGAACACCGCTCCTGTAAGATCACTTTGCGAAGTGGGGAACCGGTCAGGACGTGAGGTTAAGGCCGCTGCCAGGGGGACGAGGGGCGAGGGGACGTGTGATCTCTGGCGGGTCTTCCTCCCTCTGACCAAGGGGCCCACACGCTGGAAATCAGGTAAGAACTGGCTCTTCTAAGAGCTGGGGACCCCGGTGCCCGTCCCGCCCCTGCGTTCTGGCTTCCAGAACGTGTGTTACCATGAACGTGCGGGAGGGAAAGTCCACTCCGGAGAGTTCACACCTGGAGGGACAAGGGTGTGTCTGTCCAGGGCTGCCTGTCACTGTGATGCCGGAGAAGCAGGCTGGGCCCCACAGGGACGCATCACGGACGGAGCCTCTTCAGAGAGGGATCCGGTGACACGGGCCAGTGGGGACAGGCCGGCTGCCCCACACACGCCGTCAGACCCAGACCCCCAGACCTGCCCTTCACTGGAAGGTGGTCGGAGCCTCTGGGGCCTCCTGGCCTCACCTGTCATCACAGGCTACACCTGAGACCTACTCCGGCCTCTGATGCCTTTGGGGGGTGTGACCCCTCCCTGCTCATCCACCTCCAGGACCGACGGGTCTCCTGGCCACAGCTGGGTCGTGAGGTGGTAAAACCAGAAAAAAATGCTGCCTAGAGCTCAGTGTGTGCAGGCCAGGCGAGCTCCAGGAACTGAGAAGTACATTTTCCTCAAAGCGCCAACCACCTGGGAAATGCCCAAGCCCCCTCTAGGGCCCGCCGGGTCCGTCAGGCTCCGAGCCCACGCAGCGTGGCCCGCGCCGGCCCACAGGAAGGAGGACGCCAGGCTCCACCTGAAAACGTGGCCTGTTTATTCGAACGAAAGGCAGCGGTACATAGTGCAAACGTCTTTGGTAACGTGCTGATTACAAGGGACGTGGGAAGGCATCCGGCTGTGCAGTTAAGGGAGTAAATGAACATGTACACGTGGCCCCTCGGAACCCCTGATGCGGCCGCCACGAGACCACAGGCCCCTCAGGGCGCTCACGGACCTGGGTGTGCCCCGAAACCAAGGTCTCCGTCTTCTGGTTCCCAGAGGCTGCCTCCCAGATCCGCCTGACTCGGTCCTTCCTCGGAAGTCCACGCCCCAGGAGACGCCACCAGATTTTACCTGTCACTCGGCAGGCTGAGGCTAAGTCACGGTGACCGTGTTCAAAGCCACTGTGACCATACTGACGAGGGCGCATGGAGGCCACCCCGAGATGTGGCCGCCTGGTGCCCACACCGACGGCGGCAGGCCCTGAATGGCCACGGCCTCCTACTCCGCAGTGACGCCCTCTGAGCGGCCGTCCCCCCACGGGAACCGCAGTGGGTCCCTCGCCAGTGTCGGCCCAGCAGGGGGCGCTCAAACGTCTGCGGAGCTGAACTTGTCCGTTCAGACACCTGTGTTTCAGACACTAGCTCACTCTGTGTTTAAAACAAAATAGGAGATTTTTGGTCCGTTAGAGAGAGAGCGACCATGAGGTATGATAGTTGCTTTTCACTGGGTTCTGGAAGACCTGCGCACAGTGGAAGGTGCTGCTGCCGGATCTGAGGCTGGAAGTGGGGACTTTCGTAAGCTGGCGCGCACTCTGAGAACACGAGGTACAGGGTGTCGTCTCTTTAAGGCACTCACGCAGCCTGGAGGCAGGAAGCCCCCAACACTGGACTCCTCTGCGCTCGGCCAGAACAGCCCTGCGGCTGAGCAGGGCCTCGGCGGAGGGGGTTCCCACCAGGTCCACACCAGGCAGCAGGTTACAGGGAGAACGCGCCTGTTTCAAATGCGGCTCGACAGCCTCAGTCACGTGCGAAAGGCAGAGGGGCCACAGGTGGGCCGGAGCCTGGGCGGCGGGAACCCACTCCGAGGCGTCGCTGGTGCGCGTGGGCCGCGGCGGAGGCCAGAGGGCAGGTGTCTGGGTGACCGGGGCGCCGGGAGCCTGGGCCACCCAGACACGCTCACGAGACTTCCGTTGGCCGAGCACTGAGGCGGGCGCCCCCCGGACGGTCCACAGGCTCCCGGTGTCAGGGCCCCGCGGGTGGCTTTCCGTTGAGAAGAAATGCTGGCATCGGGAAATCACTGTAGGAGCCTAAATGACTGAACTGTGCGATTTAATAGTAGCACCAATTTCTCGTTAAAAAATTAAATAAAAACCTGAGAATCTAACGTGAAGTTAGGACTCGTGTCTGCTCCGCCGTGTCTGCTGCATGGCCTCCGGCCCGTGATCACTCCAGTCTGACCCCCCGCGTGTTCCTGAGACAGCCCGGCGACATGGCCCTGAGCTGTCCGAGTCCTTGGTGTCCACCAGCCTAACTCCCTGCACCGGCTGTGACCTCGGGGGCTGCCCCTGGGAGGAGGGGCTCCGGGGAGCCCTAAGGATCTAAGGCTGCTTTCCTGGGGTGTCCTTCAGGCAAAAAGGACAACAGGCTCCGTCGACTCTCACCGGCGCGGGGCAGTCGGCAGGTGGGCAAGCCTCCACGAAGCAGGTGATCTGCCCGTCCTGGAGGGAGAGGCACCGGACCGGTCAGTGCGGGGACCCGTGCACCACACCACTCCTCCGCAGCCTCTGACCCCTTCGGTCCCGATCTGTCCTGTGCCCCACCCGGGTGCAGCCAGACCCCGGCCACGTCCCTGGGGACCCAGAGCTGCCTGGCAGAACCAGCCTCCCTGCAGGTGTGAACACCCCAAGGCTGACCAGGGGCAGCGACAGGCAGGCCCACCTCGGACGGAGCCGGGGGAAGAGCCTGGGGCCTCCCTGACCGCGGGCCGCCTGCCGGGGCTCCGGGTCTGCAGCCGGGTGCCCGGGGCCCGAGACGGCCGTACTCACGCGACATTCACAGATGGTGCACGCGTCTCGTTTCCACCTGGCGCCGTCCGCGTGGGGCTCGCCGTCCGCACCGGTGCACTCGGCTGTGCTGAGCCGAGACTCAAGTTTCTTGATCTGCGAAGCCGACACGAGCAGTCAGGAGGGGCGGCGTGGCCCTGGCCTCCCCGGGCCTCCATTCACACGGCCGGCCCTGAAGGGCACTACGGAAACTCGAGTCTGCTTGCTGGACAGCCGACAGTGTTGTCCCAAAGCTCCGTGAGGGCGCTGCCTGCCTGTCTCAGGTCTGAGGTGCCCACACCTCAGAGGTCAGTGGTCAGTGGTCACTAAGGAACGGAGAGAACCTAGGACAACTGAAGAGGCACCTGGGACGGTGGGTCAGAGCCACCCGGACGGCAGAACATTCCGCCCTGGCTTTTCAAAGGTGCGACGGGTTGTGACTGGCCACCAATCCCGCAGCTGGACGCCCCGAGGGGCCCCTTCCTCCGGCCCCCTCACTGGGGTGCGGACTGGGTGACGTCTCTGTACACAGAGTGTCTGGCAGCCAGCCCGTCGCCCTCCAGTCCCCGGAGAAGGAAGTCAACTTCCGTCTCCAAGCCACCACCACCTGGGTTTTCTGTCCCAGGCCACTGAGCCTCCGCCGGCAACAGAGGCGGCCTGGAGTGGCCCTAACGCTCGGACACGAACCCACCCAGCCTCTGTGGATGGAGGTGAGGTGCCTGTGGACAACGGACATGAGTGGCCATGACCAGCGGGGTCTCCGACCTCCCGGGGCCTGGGGACCCCGTGCCGGTGGGACCTCACCGTCGCCTCGTCCCTGTCACCTGGGTTGTCCTGGAGGCGGTCACTCTGGGCCAGTCTCAGACGCACTGAGAAGCCCCTTTGTGCCCGAGTCACCAGACCCCGACGCTCTGGTCTCCCCGTGAAGGAAGGGGGGGTGCTGCGGGCGGCAACCCCCCTTTGGTGAGAAGACAGAAGCAGCCCTGAACTCAGGCCCACTGGGCTGGGAACGAGGCGAGGTGACAGGGACATGCCCGCGGCGGCCACCCTGTCCTGAGCTGCCAGGGGTCGGAGAACAGCGGTGAGACCCCACCTGCTCTGAGAACCTGCGGCCACACCGGGGCCCCCAGGTGAGTGAGAAGCACTCGGCACGATTTCCCCTGCGGGTGTCAGGAGGTCCCCACGCCACAGGCCCACCCTCCTGGGCCCCAGGACGCCCCGTGTCCTCTCAGCCTGGTTTCTCTCTTGGCTCCGGGGACGGGGCTTCCTCCTCGTATATGAACGCAGACTCGAGGGGCAGAAACTAGTTCCTTGGGTGGCAGTGGGGGGAGGGGAGACCTTTTTTGCAAAACCCTGCAGGCCTTCGACTCAGACCCCAGCTCCCGGTCCCTTTCGCCACATCCAGATGGTCCGACCCCAGCAGACCTGCGGACCCTCCCTGGGGACCAGGGTTAACGGTCATTCTTGAAGTGGCTGCAGGACAGGACCTGAGGCCTGTACCTCCTTCGTGGCCCTGCTCCTGAGACCGCTCATGCCCGGCCTCCATGGCCACTCTGGCCACACTCCTGCACCCGCCCACGTGGCAGCCACGGTTGAGGGTCCCAGCCACTGGGAAACTGAGGGACTCGGTGTGGCCCAGCCAGGAAAAGAGCCAGCAGACAAAGTGACCCCCGGGCTCCAGGGCGCGGGCAGACACCCCCCTCACGCCCACACAGAGACGGGTCCGACCGCACACTGGGACGGCACCTGTTTCCTGAGGTCCGTGATGGTGCTCTGCATCTCCAGAACAAAGTCCCTGAAGTCGTTCGCCCTGGGGACCGGGGGGTGCTCCGAGGAGGTGGACGTGGCGTTCCTGGGGTGCTTGCCGTGTTTCCCGACACTGCAGAGGGGAGATGGGGGAGCAGACACGGCCTCAGCACGTCCTCACGCGTGTTCACAGCTCGGCCCGGGGCCGTGCGGGCGGCCGGCGGGTCAGGCCCAGGACCCGCCCCGCAGGCGGAGTCTGACCTCGGGGACAGCCGTACCTCCGTGTCTTCCCAGGCCCTGCTTCCGCGATGGGCTCGTCCTCCTGGTAGCTGAATTCAAGGGACCGCCGGCCTCGGAAATGATACGAGAAGGCGTTGAACTGTCCCCTGGTCCTACAGTCTGACGAGAGAGGGTGACGGGACAGGTCAGCGGCCAACGGCTCTACCTTCAGGACAAACTCAGCGGCCAAGGTGAGAACCCGGCTGGTTACAGAGCGCCAGGGCCCAGCGCAGGGCGTCTGGGCTCGGGGTCAGGTGAAGGAGCTGCCCCCCAGAGGCCAAACGGAGGACAGACCAGGACGCTGTCGCGAGGACCGGCGCCAAACGGGCAGGAACGGAACCCACCCTGGACGTCACAGACTCGGCTTCACCACACAGAACCTCCCAACTGTGACCCTGAACAGCCGTGGCCTGCAGCTTCCTCAGCTACTTTAGAAAAAGTGTAACATTTCTCTGAACCCACAGAAACACAGAGATGTGTGTGCAGATACCAGCGTACACACAGATACATGTGTACACAGACGTGTACACACACAGGCACGCATGTGTACAGACACGGGTAGAGATACGTGTGTACACGTGAGAATAGTGAATGGAACGTGAGGTAAAACTTTAATAACTGATGAATCTGAGTGAAGTACAGAAGTTCTCTGTAATATTTCAATAGTTACTGCATGTGTGTACAAGTGTGTGTAGCTACACGTGTACACGTCAGTGATTTTCAACCAGTGAGCTGCAAGGATTTTTAAAACAAGCAACACCTGACTACTGACCTCTTTTCCCTTCAATTGTGAAATAAACAAATAACCAACACAACAACAGCCGTCCGATGAGGATGAATCGATATTTATCCCTATTTTTTGTCAGATATGCTGCAGAATGTTAGTTATTGGTTTATGTGCCACGAGACGAGAAAGGTTGAAAATCGCTGGTGTATGTGCGTGTGTGTATGCATGTATGCACACGTGTGTGCCTGTGTGTCCTTTCCTGACCCGTCAGGCCCACAGAGAAGCCACAAGTCTAACTGTGGTGAAGAGAAAGGGGCGCACGTGCCCCGGGGTTTCTCCTGTGCGTGGAGGTCATGCAGGGGCGAGAAGACCGGCCGGCGTGAGAGCCGAGGCCGGGAGGTTGCTTCCAAATGGCTTCTGGAGGCTGGACTCGGAGCCAGCAGCAGGCCGAGCAGTGGGCCGGCCTTCGCGTCCACCCCCGCATCAGAGAGCCGCCCGGGACAGAGCTGGGGGGTCCGTGGCGTGCGCTCGGGGCGTCTGCGGAGGAGGCTTCGCCGAGGTGGGACGCCACTGCCCCTCGCACAGCCTGGCGTGTCCCACCCCGGGGCGGGGCTCTGAGTGGAGGCACAGGAAACCCGCTGGGCTGCGTGAGCAGCTGGGAACCTGGGACCCCCAGACGCGGACGGGGCTGCGTCTGGGAACTGGCTCCCCCCAAACCACCGTCTGCGCACGCAAGAGCCAAACTCCCGGCCACGCCTGGAAACCCCTTTGCGCTGGACAAACTGGTGAGAATATTTTTAAGAAAAACAAACAAAAGAAAAACAAGGCATGATCCCAACAGACGTCACAAAGAGATGTGCATGCTCTGGAGAGCCAGTGTGTGGCGGGCAGTTTTACACGTATGTGTACACGTGGGTTACACATATGTGTACACGTGTGTTACGTGTATGTGCCACAGACCACATCGCTGCATACGAGTCCAGCATCACATATACACAGGGTGGGCAGAAGCAGGTTAATGACAACAACTACCGTCACAATTAATAGACACAAAAACAAACTGTTTCACATACAACTATAAACCTACCCAGAACGCAGACATTATTCCCGTATTCCTGAGTTAATTACTGTGTTATTTACCGTCACTCACTCACTTTCACCGGCCCTGCACACACGCACACATACGGGAGAGGGCGCCCCACGGACGTGCACAAGGTCAGGCCACGCCCGGACGACGTGAGCAGCAGCTCTGTGCTGTCCACCCAGGGTCAGTCCTCACACAGGAAACAGCAGCCACACCCACTGCCAGGGAGACACTTCCTCCAGGACCCAGGCGGGGATCGGCTGCACCCTCCACATCCTGTGTCTCCGAGCTCAGTGCCCACCTGCGCACCCAGGTGCAGAGGGCACCGGGGGAGGCCTTGGGACAGGGCTCTGGACCCCCCTCGGCCACACCCTGGGGCTGTGTGGCCCTCCTGGTCACCCCACTCCCGTGCCCCACTGTCCTGACCCAGAAGAGCAGGGGTATATGGATAACTCCTAAAGGGCCCCAAGTTTAATGACATGGATCTCTGGTCCCAGTTTGAATAAACCGAAGTCACGGTCAAATCAGGAAACGGAACCGTGGCTCACCACGAGCAGGACACCAGACAAAAGCAAGAGCCGCGGGGTGAGGACAGAGGCCGCCACATCCTGACCGCCCCCGGCAACCACGGCCAGCCCCGCCCACCTGTCTGGGGCTCCCGCGCTCCTGAGAACAAGCCCCCTCTTCCTACTGGGCCTCCGACCTCTTCTCTGCTCACAGAGGTCACTCAGACCCTCAGGACACACAGCCACACCCCCAAACCCCGCCTGGGGTTGCTACGGCTCCCCGAGACCTCCCTCCCGTCTCTCAGCAGAGTCGGGCGGCACAGGACGCACTGGGGTTCACAGGCAGGGGGGCTCAGCTCACTCACATCCTGCTTCTATCCGTCTTCCTAGAATCTTAGTCGTCACACGGACACTGCGCCGGCCCCCAAAAACTCCACCAGGAGGCTTCTTAGTCCCACTGAGCTCCTGGGCCGGGACACACCCGCACCGAGAGGCCGCCCCACCGGCACGGCCACGGCAGCGCGGAGGCCCGGAAGGTACCTTCACAGCAGTCCTGCCAGACCCGCAGGTCCACCCTGGGCACGTCGTCACAGCTGCTGAAGCCGTGGGGGAACTCCGCCACCCGGAACACGTCCTTCTGCACACGCGTGATGTTGTCCGAGTTGTCGCACAGGATCCTGGCCAGCGACGTCTGCTTGATCTGCGTCAGCTGGGCCGGGGAGAACACCCCGGGGTTTTCATACCACAACCTGTCCCGGGAGGAGAACAGGTCAGAAAACTCGGAGCCTCAAACCACGGTGAGGGGAGCTCAACGGTCCTCCACTCAGTGTCCATCCCTGGTTCCGACCAGGCCCCTGATGGAGCCCGGCTCACGTCCCACTGGACAAAAACCAACTGGCGAGTGAAAACACAAAGGTCAGCGCCTGACCGGCGCACGGCCATCTCCAGCCATGTGCGTGGCCTGTGGCCCGTGGCCCCGGCTGGACGGCTCAGCACCAGGCAGGGACCACCCGCTACCTGCTGGAACTAAACCGCCCTCGCCAGCCAGCCAGCCGTCCCGGCCGCCCTGAGGGCCCCGCGTGGTTAACCGCAGGCTGTCACCAGGGGCGGACACACTCCTGCCAACCACAGGGCGTGAAAGCACCTGGGGCGGGTTCGGCCGGTTCGGACGCCGTGTGACGAGCAGCCCGGCCGTGGGGAGCCCTCACAAACAGCAGGAGCCGCCCCCCCCCCGTGCTCAGCGCTTAGGGTGGACCTGGAGCCGCCTCCCACGGCTGTTACCTTCCCCGAGTCCCCCCAAGGTACCGGAAGGCCCGACTCTCCTCTCCGTTTACCTGTCCCCGTCTCGCAGGCGCTTGAACTGGGTGCTCAGCAGGCACATCAAGGTGGGTCCCAGGCGGCTGCCGGGCACCAGGTCCTCCACCATGAGGGCGGGGAACAGGTCGATGTTGAGGGGCGACCCGTATAACCTAGAAACGAGTGAGACCTTAAATCTACTTACAAGGCTCCTCTGGAAAAGCACTTGTGGACCCGAGAGCCCTGAGCTCAAACTACTGCACGTCACTGAGTCTTCCCTCAGCAAAGGAGCGCGACCCGCGTCCCAGGAGCTCTGTTGTCATCTCTCCCACTTTCTGCCTGTACAGGGCGGGGCGGAAGGAGGGCGCAGTGTCCGTGAGGAAAACAGTTCGGTTACCATGTGATCACGAAGACCCGTGTCAGTGCTCACCCCTGTGCCCGAGTCGCCACCTGCACACGGGAAATACACACGTGTGTGCGTCCCGAAAAGCCACGAAGCAGGAAGGACATGAAAGCCACACTTTGTTACACAGGTCATTACACTCGTACACCTTCTCAACAACTCACGTTTCATCAACAGACGTGAACAATAAACTACCTACGGCTAAAGACACATATAAAAAGTAACGCTGGGATTCCGCTGTATGGTGAAAACATATTTGCTATAAAGAACGCGTTTACTAAGCAGAGATGGTACAGGAAACAGAGAGAGCGAGGTTTAAATGTTCAAGAACAGCCCGGCCGGTGTGGCTCGGTGGTCGAGCACCGACCCTGCACCAAGAGGCTGCGGGTTCGATTCCCGGTCTGGACACACACCCAGGCTGTGGGCTCGATCCCCAGTGGGGGACACACAGGAGGCGCCAGTCCATGTTCTCTCTCGTCGGTGTTTCTTTCTCTCTCCCTCCCTCTTCCCCTCCTTCTAAAATCAATAAAGAAAAGGATTTAAATAAATAAATGTTCAAGAACATTTTCATCAAAGTCCTCCCATTTCTTAGAAACACGTGCTTACGAGGAGAGCTCTGATCTGATCCAACATCGGAAGAACGTCTCAGGCACCATTGAACTCTCCGGTGGGCTCTGAGACGCACCCCGAAACCAGCCCGGGGCAGCCTCTGCCGCGCACCAGCGGGCAGAGGGGCAGCGCTGCTAAAGCCAGCCTCAGCCCTTCAGAGAGACGAGTTCGGCTCGTCTTCTCCACGTCAAGGACGTCCGGGCGGAACTTCTAGGTCGAATGGAAACATGGAGTCAGAAAAGCCTCCCAGCCGCTGCCTCCTGGCTGGCAGGGCCCAGAGTGGTCTGAGGAATCACCTGTGGCAGTTCCCACAGGAAGCACCTTGGGCGGGGTCCTCTCTTCCCGCCCCCCTCGATGATCCACCTGTACAGGCCTTTGGGACAAAGCTGGGGCGCACACCACAATCAAGCAGGAACCTCTTGTCCAACAGGGCACATGACCCCTCCCCTCCCCGCCTGCTCCGGGCACCCAGACCGCGCAGCCAGCCAGGGCGCAGGGCACTTGGCCCCCCAGTGCCAGCAGCACTGGGCCGGGGTGCAGCTCCTCCAACTGCTCTGAAATAAGTTTGTCAGATGAGAGAAATGACGAGGACGTGATCTGCGTACGTCTGGACAAAATCAACGCTGGGTATTTAAGCACCTAACTAATAAATGGTTCCGATGAATCCTAATTAAGCAAAACTGACCAACAAAGTCTCTGCACCAGCGGAGCACCCGTGACGGACGCCAGCAACCGGATACTGGTATTGAAACCAGAATTTCAACACTCAGGGGCCACAATGTGCATTTCTTCAAAACTGGCAATAAATTATGAGTGAAAAGTCACTTTGTTCCAGAGCACACAGGAGCACACTGGCGAGACCACGTCTGAAGTTCAGCGTTAAGTAACTCAGAGTAAGTAACCTACTCCTGGGGGAGCCACGGGGCCTGGAAAATGTACGAAGTGAGTCTTCAGGAGAAAGTTTTCTTTCTAAAACAATTCCTCCCGAGCGTCCAGGAAACAGAGACTTTAAAGACCACGGACTGCCACCTGGAGACTCTGATGTTTCGAAAGGACATTAAATACAAGACACTCCGAAACCTCACTGGGCGGGCTGGACATACACGCGCTCCACCCACACTGGCTCGAGGACCCTCTAAGAGAAGCTGCTGACAGACAGACGGACAGACGGCCAACCCGAGAGACTGACTAGGTCTGAGGCCTTCAGAGCCCAGAGGTTTAATTGTCTTTACCTGTCTGCTGAGGGGACCAGTCATAATAACAGTCACGTTTGTTCTCTAGACTTCTCCTAAGCTGCCCACTACTGAGGATTACCGAACAAGAGTAAGATGAATGTTCACTCTTTTCATGGCTTTTGTAAGTGTTAGACCAGATACAAAATAAACACCAATGAGACAGTAGCAGAGACAACGATTCCTCCCACCAGCACCAGGAAGGCGGCTCCCGGCCCGGGTCTCCCAGGTCCCTGTCAGCCCCCTTCAAGGCTTCTCCGTCCTCCCCGCTGCACGGCCGGCAGCACCCACGCCGGGCCTTCCTTTCCCACCGTGTGGACCAACAAGAGAACAACCCTGGTGTGCTCCTCCGACTCACCGCCTGAGCTTCTCCCGGATCTCGGGGTTTTTGATCTCGTTTTTCAGGTCCTCGAAGGTGTGGGCAGACGACAGGTTGCAGTAGACGCGGTAGTCGTGGTAGGGCGGGATGCCGTGGTCGCGGCCCCGCTGGATGTTGATGGCTGCCAGGTCCAGGGCCACCGTGTGCGTCATGGAGAAGAGGCGCTCGGTGAGCTCCGTGTTCAGCAGCTGGGAGGGCACGCGCATCTTCCCCGCCACGCCGAACAGGCCCCTGAGCACCGGGTCGATGCCGCCCTCGTTCACGATGCGGAACGGGGAGAAGAAGGCTTTGTGCAGGGGCACGTGGCCCTGCGCGATGGGCTGGAAGTTCTCGTCCAGCCGGTAGAGCACGGGGTTGACCAGCGTATGGCCGAAGCGGAAGGCGGCCGTGGCGAAGGCATTGAAGATGCCCGCGTTGACACCCGGATCGTAGCCGCGGTACTCCCCCAGCATCTTCATGCCCACCTCCCCCAGCACCTTGGGGAGCCAGTGCTGGTAGGTGATGTACTGCATCTGCGCGCCCACGATCTTCCGGGCCTCGTGGTACAGGGTGTCGCCGTCCCAGTGTGGGTTCAGCGCCAGCAACTCGGTGGCCACGCGGTTGTGCTCGCGGAACCACAGCGTGTGCATGCTGGTGAGGCCCAGCTGCTCGTTGGCACGGTGGTCGCCGGCCAGGAAGCAGGGGATGGGGCTCTCGCTCTCGTCGCGCATGCACTCCGTGGGCGGCCCCGCAGCGAAGGGCAGCAGGGGCTTCCCCGAGCGCTGCACGATGCCCTGGCGCAGCAGCCCGCGCTGGCTGGCCAGGTCACGCACGGCGCGGGCCTCGTGCTCCGAGCTGCCGTAGACGTTGGAGGCGTCGATGTAGGAGGTGAGCTGGTTGATCTGCTCGCGCGGGTACACGGAGTTCATGAGCAGGGAGGTCATGCCGCTGCCGCACACGGGGCTGGAGCGCACGAAGAACATGCAGCGCGCGCCGTTCCTCACGCGCGGGTCGTTGGGCGGGATGGCGAGCGAGAAGCAGGGCGGGTCGCTGCTGCACGCGGAGCTGCAGTGCTGCCCGTCGGAGAAGCGGGCCTGGCTCAGGGCCACCACGGTGGAGTCCAGGTCGTGGTCCAGGAACTGGCCCCACTGCATGAGCATGTGCGTGAACTGCGCGTCCGGCGTGACGGCCTCCGTCCCGATCAGGGTCGTGGACACCAGGCGCGGCATGGGCAGCGCGTGCCCGTGGTACAGCCGGCCGGGGTTCACGCCCCGGGGGGTGTTGAACCCGTTCTCGTACACGGACTTCAGCAGGCGCTCGAAGGCGGTCAGCGAGGCGCCCCACATGGGCCGCTGCAGGTTGTTGCAGGTGCCGTCCTGCGTGCGGTACTTCTGGTGGAAGCACATGTCGGAGCAGTTGTTCACGCGCCGGTGCGCCGTGCAGCCCGACAGGTTGGCGATGAGGCTCAGGTACTGTGGAGACACCAGGTCGTTGTAGTGGTAGCCTGCGGGCAAGCACAGGAACGAGCTCATGCGCCCTGCAGTCAGGGACCGGCTCTGGGCCCCCCAGTGCCTCCCAGCGGTGACGGCGGGAACCACCCTCCCCACATCTCCCTGCGGCCTCTCCGCCTCCACCACAGACAGCGCTCCCGGCCCTCAAAACAGCTCCGCGCACGCGCACAGGGGCGCACGCGCACAGGGGCGCACGCGCACAGGGGCGCACGCGCACAGGGGCGCACGCGCACAGGGGCGCACGCGCACAGGGGCGCACGCGCACAGGGGCGCACGCGCACAGGGGCGCACGCGCACAGGGGCGCACGCGCACAGGGGCGCACGCGCACAGGGGCGCACGCTCCAGGCCCGCAGAACAGCTCCACCCCCGCGCACGCTCACAGGGGTGCGCTCCAGGCCCGTAAAACAGCTCCACCCACGCGCATGCGCACAGGGGCGCACATGCTCCCCCACACCGCGGGGTTCGCAGGCATCAGCCATCTTTGTTCTCAACCATTTCACTCAGATCTGGACCCAGTGCTGTGTACGTCCGACAGGGACACCCTGTTGCAGGGACCGTGTCCACGTGGCTGCGGTCGAGAACTGGAGGTGAGGAAATCCCACTGGCCGGGGACGAGCGATCAGGACCGTGAGCTCTTTGCCGGGATGTGACCCCAGCCTCCCAGCCTCGCAGCGCGTCGTGCTCACCGGGACCCGAACGCTTGGGTCGGGTCCGCACTTGCCGGAAACCAGAGTGAACTCACCGTCCAGCTCTGGTCCCAGTTCCTCTCCGAAATCTCAGCTCTCGATCTTGAACGTCAAACAAAACCGCGTCCACCCACGTCCCCTGGGCCCCAGAAGCCTTCCTCCCGCACTGTCCCTTCGTCTACAGCAGTGGCCGCGGTTCCTCGGGCCCCCTTCTCATTGCAGGGACCAGGGCGGAGCCCAGACGGAGGGCAGGCACCTGCCAACATCCTGGACTGGACACTGACCCCACTGACCCCACAGCCTCTGTAAGTGCGGAACCAGAGCCTCCTAGAACGTCACCGATAAAATGCTGCAAAGTCAGATCTATCTACAAACCCCAAGAACACCCCATGGAAAATGAGGCCTGCCCAGGGGCTCTGCAGACTGCCGACCACAGCGTGCAGTGCAGTTCACGTTAGGAAGAGAAACGACCTCAGACTGCAGAAAACTAAGTGCGGGTAAAAGTACTGAAATATGATAAAAAGTATGAATTCAGGAACAAGGAAATGGACAAAACGACTGTTTCAGGCTGGGAAGATGCCTGGACGGTACTGTTATGGGGAGGGGTCACTATTCCCCATGAATGAATTCACTCAGTACAGAGCAAGGACACAGGCAGGCCTGCAGGTAACGTCTGTGTGAGTGTCCCTCCCCTACCTGCATCCAGGCCACCGGAGACGGTCACCTCTGCCTTCGCAACTGGATCCACCCCCTCACCACACCACCTGGTCCCCACGCTGTCCTCTCCCTTCCGGATCATTCCACAGACACCATGTACCTATCCCTGAGTCCCACAGGCAGCCAGTGCCCGACAGGCTGTGGGCACAACGGAAGGGCCGAGGCTTCTCCCGGGTGCCCTGCAAGCTGAGGGTGGCAGTTGCCACAGAGACCAGTGGAGATGTAGTGACATGGACCTCTGACCGGCTCTGAGCCGTCACCACGCTCCAGAGAGGGGAGAGGGGACCCTGTGGGGTTCCCCTTTCCCACCTCCTCACACACTGGTACGTAGGAGATACGTTCAGTTCCTCAATGTTTTCGTCCTCGTGGGAAAAGACGCTCATCAAAGACAAACGGGACACAGAGGACTTCAAACCGCCCCTCCCCGTGTTCTCAGGCCGCTGCGGCCGGCAGCCTCCCCAGGAGCACGTGCAGGTTCGCGCACAGCTCGATTGGACGGTTGCTGAAGGCGATGCTGTTACAGTGAAGCCCGCCAGACCCGCCGTCTAAGAGCACCGCTGGACAGCGAGACAGTGCCTGTCGCCCCACACCGGCACTGGGACGGACGAGGCTGGAGCCTCACACACGCCCTTTCCACAGCCACAGGGACACAGCGTCACTTACATCACTGTTGTCCTGCAGTTTCCCCTGAAACCTCCCTTGTCCTGGGCGACATGCTGACACAGGATCTGGGCGACAAGGACCACCCCCACTGGGTCCCTGTGGGGAACTCCAGAACCATACTGTCACCCCCACTGTGTCCTCCTCAGACCCGGGGACTAGATGCCGAGCCTGTCCCTGGGAAGGCGCCCTCTGCGGGTGTGTGGTGCCCGCTCCCCAGGAAGACGCGGAAGGAGGGGGGGCACTGACTGGTTCCGTTGAGGTCGACCGTGAGGCCGTGCTGCACGTGCTCCTGGATCAGCTGCAGCGTCCGCTCGAATATCTCCCCGGCGCGAGCCTGCTCCACGGTGTAGGGGTCCCTCGGGTAGCGGAACAAGGCCAGCAGGTCGTTGGGGGACCGAGGACGGCTGACTCGGTCAGGGGGGAGGGAAGAGGGCACAGTCACTGAGACAGAAGTCACCCGCGTGCAGTCAGACGCGGTAACGTTTCTGCCAATCCTCCTCCGTGGGGGCCTGGGCCTGACTGATCCCAGGCGGAAGGGAACAAGAGACACAGGACCAAGGGACACTAAAAACAAGCATTTAGTTAGGTCCGTGGAGAAAACAGCAACGTTCTACTTTGATGCGGATACAGAGAAAACACTTTGGAATCTGCCGACGTGAACAGACCCCTAACGGCTTGTGAAATACTTTGTTTTTGCCAAATCATTTAGCAACAAGCCAAAGAGAACGCGTTGCAATTTTTAAGCAATGTCTTGTTCGTGAATCATAGTTCAGTCTACTTGGAAAGGACTTGCCTGTTATCTTTACCCCCTGACGATTGACGCCAACCTTGCTTATGAATTTCAAGCTTAAAGGTTTTCTCGATGAGGCAACAGGTCTGGCCCTGTCCCAGGACGGCCCCCATCCTTAACCCCTCCGACGTCTGTCCCGCCAGCATACCTGTCGAACAGGTGTGTCCGCGTGGAGTTGATGGCCCTGTCCACGGTGGCGATGGCCTCCACAATGGATGTGGCCACGAACGGGTCCCCGTTGCGACTGACGTCAGGGACTAGGAAACACGAAGTTGCAGGTCACGGAAGGCGCTGGGCGTCCCCCACCGTCTAGACGCTACCTCATCCGGCCCCAGCACACTGGCTCGAAGTGTGTTTCTGTTTCTCCCCTCAAAGCTCAAACAGCTTTATCCCAAACTCCACTGGAAGCTGTTTTCAAACCGTATGGAAATTGGGCTTTGAGATTTTGAAATCGTGTGACACCCCCTCAAAGAACAGGGAAGACGCAGCATTAACGGCAGGCTCGGGGGAGGCGGGAAGTCAGGCCTTGCGTGGCTGCTGACATGGGGTGACTTCTGGTGGGTTGTTCTTCTCATCAAAGGACAAACCTTCCCTGGGGCTGGACCTCAACCTGCTCAGCTCTTCTTACCGAGCTTCTCTGTGATCCCATTCGCTCATGATACGTGTTGCTACCACCTGTCAACACACGCACATGCACACGGGCACACGCACACATATGGCACATGCACATACACTCGCACACACAGGCACACATGGCCATGGGCACAAACATAAGCGCATGCACACACACGGGCACACAAATGGGCACACACACAGACACACACATGGGCACAAGCACACACGTGCATGGGCGCACACACACGGGCACACACACACATATGGCACATGCACATATATACACATGCACATGCACACATGGGCACACACAGCCATGGGCACAAACATAAGCGCATGCACACACACATGGGCACACAAATGGGCACACAGACACACACATGGGCACAAGCACACACGGGCATGGGCGCACACACACACACACAGGCACAAGCATGCACATGCACACGCACAGCACACACAGCTTAACCTGGGGCCCTGAGGGACAGCTCGGCTCCCTGACTACTTTTCTCTTCCTTTTCACTCAGTATTTTTCAGGACTTAGTTTGTTAAATGAAATAACCCCGTTCCAACCACAGTTTTATCTTTTGAAAAAGCTGGTGCCAGGCCACAGTCTCCACAGGGAGGCTGCCTCGGCAGCCAACAGTAGGTTTATGTTGAAGACACTCGGACGTCATGCACCCTGGGAAACACGTCACGCGCAGAACAGAGCAGAGACCAAGCTGGCCTCTTGCAAGGCGGTAACGGCATCTGAACTTTTGCCAGATGACAAATGTAAGCAACACGTTTCTGGATTCGAAGGGGTTTGGAGAACAGCTAAGCCACCATCAAACCACAAGCAGGGAGGCTCCCCGAGCGAGGCCCACAGGGGCCCACGGGCCCCCGAGCACCAGGAGGCAGGAGGGGCTCCTGGAACCGGCCTGGCCCTGCCACCAACCGCGAGTGCCCGGTGGCCTCCCCGCAAACTAGGGGTGCAGATGTGCCCCGTTATCATAACCCGTGCGCCTGGCCTCGGCCGGGCCTGTGGCTTTCCTCTGTGGCCGTGGAGCCCACAGGGCGGGACGTCTGCCGGCCACAGGGGCGAGGCCTGGGCAGCCTTACCGCTCACGCTGAGCACCATGCTGACTGAGGCCTGTCCGATCGTGTTCCGGGCCACACACTCGTAACGGCCTGCGTCCGCGGTCCCGACGTCATGGATGGTCAAGAACCCCTCAGGGCTGATGTGGAATTTCCCACTTTCTGTCACCTGAACCCCGTCCTGGAGCAACACAGCAGAAAGCACAGTGGGAACAAGGTGGAGAAGCAGCACCGTTCACTCCCGAAGCCAGGGCATCGTGCGTCAGGCCCGCGCCGATGGACACGTCGGGGATGCTGAGCCTAGATGCACCCCTAACTGGGAAGAAGAGATTTAATCCGATTCATCCAACACCAATTCCGTGGGATAAACTTGGCTTACGGGCCCACCCATGATCCAGGGAAGATCCAGACAGAGCCAAGCTCCTGGGATTTTCTAGGATGGAGGGGGGTGATGAGACCCCCAGCGAGGAGGCACAGGGCACGGGCACCCGGGGAGGGAGAAGGGCCCCAGGCATTGTCTCCGGGGGACAGTGTGCCCGAGTCACACTGGAAAGGACGGCGATGTCCCAGCTGCGGAGAGGAAGCTGGAGAGGACCCCAAGGCTTCAGCAGCGGAGAACACAGCTCCCTGGGCCGCCCCGCCCCCCGGGAGACGCTCCTGTCAAAGCACGTCCGTCTCTGTAAACTCTAGTGTGTTTTTTATTGGGTTTGATACAAACAGCAGAAAAGTAAAACAACAAAGACTGTCCACACTGACTACGAGCTCGGGGTCTAAGGGGAAGGACCACTCTCGTTGCCGTGAGACGAGAGGAGGGTCTGTCTCGTTTCGGTTTTATCAGTGAGGACAGTGGCACTGCCTTTGGACTCGGGCCTGCGGTGGGGGTGCCCCACTCTGGGACGTGTGCAGAGGCCACAGGAAGGCGGCCGTCCCCCGCATCCCCAACCACCCCGTGCCCACGGTGGTACCTTGTTCCAGGTGATGGCGGGCTCGGGCTCCCCCTGGGAGCTGCAGGGCAGCTGCACACTGGTGCCCACCTCCACCGTCTGGTCGCTGGGGGTGCTGCTGAACACCGGAGTGACTGGAAGGCAAGGGCACAGGGCTGAGTCGTGGACGCCCGGCCCTCAGGGCAGCGGGCACCTCGGCCGTCTCCTCTCAGCGTTGTCTGCACAGAGGAGCTGGCGGGGCCGAGACACCCCCGCCGGGAGCCCGAACCCAGAACCCAGGCCCCAGGACCAAGACCTCGCGGCCGGGAGGGACCTGTGGTGCAGGGGCCTCCCTCCCCGGGAAGTGAGGGTCCTGCGGCTTGTGAGGACCCTCCCACAAGTGCTCCCCCAGCAGCCACCCGGGGTCCGGTCCAGTAAGAATATCCAGGGGCAAAGCTGCACACCCAGAGCCAGCCAAGCCGCCAGAGCAGGCCCAGGCCCTGCGTGCTGACCCTGAGGCCGGACTCTGTCCTGAGTCCCAGGGACACAGGGCCCAGGTCCTTCTGTGTGCAGAGAGCACAGGGGCCTGGGACGCTCGGGGGGGGGGGGCAAACAGGACACAGACGGCGCCTCCAGGGCATGGACAGGGGCCACCGAACCCAGCGCCGCTTCAATAACCCAGAACAGGTGGCCCTGAAGTGACCTTGTTTAAGTATCAGCTGGTGGAAAACCGTTCAGTTTACTTTGATAAGTCGGCCTATCGGAGTTCAGTTTAATCATCATTAAAAAATAAATGTCACCCCCCTGGCCGGTTTGGCTCAGCAATCAGAGCGTCGGCCCATGGACCAGAGTCACGGGTTCGATTCCAGTCAAGGGCATGTACCTCGGTTGTGGTTTGGTCCCCGGCCCTGGTCAGGGTCGTGTCAGGGGCAACCAGTCGATATGTCCCTCTCACATCGATGTTTCTCTCCCTCCCGCTCTATCGGAAGATAAGTAGAAAAATGTCCTGGGTGAGGATTAAAAAAATTTAAAAAATAAACGTTATCACAGGCTCAAGAGCAAGACATAACGAGTGTGACCTGGTCACCGGGGGACACAACGACAGGGACAGCTCTTCAAATGGGCAGTCAGCTCCCGGTGACCGGCAGGGCCGTGGCGCTGGTGCACAGGCCTGGCCTCCCGTGTCTACAGTGTGCCCGCCGCGTACCTCTGGGCTGGACCGTCAGGTGCGCCACGACCCTCTGGGAGCCGATGATGTTGACCGCCTGGCATTCGTACTGGCCCTGGTCATGGAGGGCGACGCCCGAGATCCTGAGGGTCCCCGACGACAGAACCAGGTGCCGCCTGTCCACAGACAGCTGGCTCCCTGAAAGGCAGGGGGCACAGGTCAGCCACGGGGACGCGTGGTACGGTGTCAGCCACAGGAGGGTCGAGCAGAAGCTTGTCCCTGACGGGGGCCCGGGGTCGAGAGCTATGTAAGGAGGAGCCAGGACAGCGGGGGACTCGGCGGAATCCACTCACACTCGGGGTTCTGGAGGCTGGTCCCCGCTGTGTGTGATAGAACAGAGCTGGGCAGCGGGCAGGGGCACCCCAACAAGGGCCTCACATTCCGCTAGGGCTGAGCGTCCGCTGTCTCCTGCCCAAGAGCAGGGAGGCCCAGAATCCCGGGAAAGGACCCTCGGGACGAAGGGACACACGTGGAGGTCATCAGCTGGTTCTCAAGGTCACCCCACCTGGAGCCCAGGACAGGACCCCGAAGGTCCACCAGCATTGGCATGAGCCTTCCCAGCCAGGCTGCCGTCGCCCCGGGACAAGGTCTGTGCCTCCTCGTGGCCGGCAGCCAGCTGAGCTCCCGCTAACGACAGGGCTGGTCCAGCCCAGAGAACCAGTGTGGTCAGCACTCAGCATGGGGCGGAGACACGGCACCTCTCTGGGAAGGAGACTGGGAGTAAAAGTTTCACTAAAAAATATTTTCCACTCTTGGTTTTCTAGAAAGTCCGCCTTCCTTGCCATGACCTTCATTCATTCCTGATTGCGTGTCCACTAAAGGCACAGCCTCTTGGGTGAAGATGGGCGTGAGCACGGGGTTTGGGGGGCAGTGAGGACGTACCCCAACATGTGTAGGGTGGCCTGTGACCAGGGCATACAGACACCTGTCCTCCGCAGCCCCTGGGCCACGTGGGGCGCACCCACTGCTCAGCCCTGCTCAGAGCCTGGGTCTTGGGGGGCGGAGAAAGACCCAGCATTTGGGAGCTTGTGCCCGAGGGCGGGAGGCAGGGCCGCGTCCTACCTCCTTTCGTCCAGGCGATGACCGGCTGCGGGTAGCCCTTTGCCTCGCACTGGAAGTCGACCGTCTGACCCTCAATCACAGTTCTGTCCTCGGGGGTCACAGTGAACTGAGGAAGAGCTTCCGGAAGGCAGAACACGGAGAACATGACGTTAAAGATAGGCTTCGAAGAACACCGCACACTGCTGGCCACTGTCCTCCCGTGGGCAGGGCACCCCGAGTGACGGGACACCCGCTGCGGGTGCGGCAGGGCACCCCCGAGTGACGGGACATCCGCTGCGGGTGCGGCAGGGCACCCCTGAGTGATGGGACATCCGCTGTGGGGTACAGGGCACCCCCGAGTGACGGGGCACCTACTGCGAGTACGGCAGGGCACCCCCGAGTGATGGGACATCCGCTGCGGGTGCGGCAGGGCACCCCCGAGTGACGGGGCACCTGCTGCGGGTACGGTAGGGCACCCCCGAGTGACGGAACATCCGCTGTGGGGTGCAGCAGGGCACCCCCGAGTGACGGGACATCCGCTGCGGGTGCGGCAGGGCACCCCCGAGTGACGGGGCACTCGCTGTGGGGTACAGGGCACCCCCGAGTGACGGGACACCCGCTGTGGGTGCAGCAGGGCACCCCCGAGTGACGGGACATCCGCTGCGGGTGCAGCAGGGCACCCCTAAGTGATGGGGCACTCGCTGTGGGGTACAGAGCACCCCCAAGTGACGGGGCACCCGCTGCGGGGTGCAGAGGCCGTGAGCAGGGGGAGGACACTGGAGGGTGAGGGGGGAGCACTGAGGAACCAGAGGGCGGGTGCTTCTCGGCACCACGGTGACCCCGTGCGGGAAGAGCCGGAACCAGGGCAGCTGCGGGCAGAGGTGGGCAGCGTCACCTCCCTCCGCCACCGAGTCAGGACTTGCAGATGGTCCGCGGGTCATCAGGGAGCAACTGGGCACAGGGCCAGGAGTCAGCCCGTTACTGCTCGGGAAGGTGTCACAGAACAGCGTATCCAGTGTGACTCCACTGTTGTCAAAGCAACAACCGCAGCAGAGAAAGTAAACCCCAAAGGGCCCCACAGCTCCCTGCGCAGAGGCAGACCAGAGGTGGGGAACCCGCTCCTCGAAGGGGCTCCCCGGAGGCAGGAGAAGGGGGTGGGGGCGGGGCAGGGGCAGAACGACTTTCTCCTTTTCACATTTCCAGTGCTCTGAGGCTTCAACAAATGTTCCACTTGGCAACTGACTGAAAAACTAATACAGTGCCCAGCAGGTGCGGCTCAGTGGACGGAGCGTCGTCTCAGGGACTGAGCCCTCCCGGTTCGATTCCCGGTCAGGGCACCTGCCTGGGTTGTGGGCTCGATCCCCAGAGGGGGCGTGCAGGAGGCAGCCGATCAGTTTCTCTCTCACATCGATGTTTCTCTCTCTCCCCAAAATCAATAAAAAGTTTATTTTAAAAAAAGAACATAAACTCAGTAAGGAGTCAAGTGAGAAACCTGGGAACACTCAGAGCCTTCGGCCAAGAATCAACCCTATGAGATTCCGAAACGTGTGAGGACTTCCTGGTTAACACGCAGGTGCGCACACCCACAGCCAGAAACGAACCCCAACCCCTCAGCTTCGACTGCAGGTGACAGCCGGACGGGGATGTGCGATGGGACAGGGCCCTGTCCTGCCCTGCGTGGGGCGGAGGGCACGCCAGGGACCCACGGTACGGACTCTCACCCTGGACGATGATGAAAGCTGTGGCGTGGATGCTCTCGATGCTGTTGGACGCGAAGCAGGTGTACTCCCCACTGTCCCCCTGGGCCACGTTCTGAATGTAGAGGCCGCCAGAGGGCGTGATGCTCACTCGTGGGTCCTCGGGCAGCGGCGTCCGGTCCCCTTTCGTCCAGGTGATCCTCGGCAGAGGGTGGCCGGTGGCGCTGCACTCCAGGGTGACGCTCTCCCCGACCAGCACCTCCGTGTTCTGCGGCTGGATCACAAAAGTGGGCCGAGCTGTCACAATGAAACACAGGTTCTCATTTAATTTCTCTAGTGGGGCGACCATTTTTCTGCTTGAGTTTTTCTACGTTCGGGCTACTCACCCTGTTTTTGACCTCTGAACTAGGTAAAGCAAACCGTTTAATTGCGTACTTTCCAGTTTGGGGGGTTTTAAAGAAATGCACAGGAAATAAAAACGGTCCACGGCCTTAGGTCGAATGAGGAGTCGGCCACTGTGCTGGGTGAGAGCTGATTCTCGGACGGCTGACCCCTGGAGAGGCCTCCTTTGGCTTTTCCCAAACACATGCCAACCTTGTTAAACCTTGCGAGTAGTTCCGGTTGGAGTACAACATTGATTTTAAAGTGTACTCAGAACACACAGAAGAATAAATTTCACTCACAAATTAAGAATACACTGAGAAAAAATCTTTCAAATCCAAATCTAGAAAAAACTACACACACTTGCCCTGGCCAGTTTGGCTCAGCGGTTAGAGCGTCGGCCCACGGACCAAAGAGTATCGGGTTCGATTCCGGTCAAGGGCATGTGCCTCGGTTGTGGTTCGGTCCCGGCCCTGGTCAGGGCGTGTGGGAGCAACCAGTCGATGTGTCTCTCTCACACCGATGTTTCTCTCTCTCTCTCTTCCTCCCACTCTGTATGAAGTTAAGTGGAAAAGTCTCCTCGGGTGAGAATTAAAAAGAAAAACACACATACTTCTGTTTTGTGAGTTTGTGCAGAAACTCACACACAGCACCGTCGGTACCGCGGCCCAGCGGGAGAGCAACCGGCCGCACACAGCAAACCTGGAATCCAGAACCCCTCTGCCCAGAGGTCACCCTGCCAGGACGGACCCCACAAACAAGCATGAAAATGATGTGTACAGAGAAGGTTTGAATTCGTCGCTGTGATTTCCTTGGACCAACACAACACCCTCATCCATGATCCTGGAATCCAAAAAGTCCCAAACAAAACATGTTTTCGTCACCCGTTTATAACCGTCTAGACCACTCAGAGGCCTCGTTTTTCTGCTACAAATATTCACACTGTTTGCTGCAGGTTGTTGATATGCTGATGTGCCAAGCGGCCCTTCTGAAGAAAGTTCCCAAATTTCTAACAGCATCTGGTCCAGGGTTTCGGCTAAAGGGACAGAGATGGGCCTGTGACAGCAACGGACTGGGGGGGGGGGGACTAAATGTTTTCGAAAAGGAAACTGGTCAACTAGGTCGCCTTCCATCTCGGGGAAAACCTGATGCAGAGAAAACCTCGGGGACCTAGAGGAAGACCTTCGGGAGGTGCAGCCAGACATTTTCCTGGGGGGGTGAAGAGGGAACCCTGTTAGTAACGGGGTGTGGGGCGGACGCAGGAAGGATGTGGATCAGGGACACAGACAAGAGAGAGAAGCCTGTATCTCTTTAAGCTAATGCGCAAGTCTTATCAGTGAAACACCAGGAAACACGAACCGCACAGTCCAGAGGTGACAGTCAGCATCAGCCTCCCGGGGGGCGCAGACAGGAGGCTGCAACGGGGTCACCAGAGTTGGACGCTCCCGGGGGCTGGTGCGGAACCCTGAATGTCATCGTCCTCACCCGGCTGGACCAAGGAGGAGCCAACCAGACCTCCCGCACGGCTGGGTCCCCAAGTGCTGCACCACCGGTGTGAGGATGAGAGCCAGTGCCCACCTCCCTGCCCGGCAACTGGCGGGGGAGAAAGAAACCGCATCTGAAGCTGCATTAACGAAAGCTGGTTCTCGCGTGGGTTTGCGCCTATTTCACCCCACGCGAGGCAGGGCGGAGGCGCAGACAGCAATAGAGAGAACCAGGTGCAGCGAGAGGGATGTGGAGTTCAAAGTAGTAGAGACGTTGCAGAGACTCGGGAAACACAGAGCTCAGCCTCCAAGCTAAGAGGGGTGTTTGCACTTTGGAGACAAAGGTAAAGATGGCCTGTAGTTTAAGAATGCGTTTAACGTCATCTTGAGCAGTGGTGCTTAACTTCCAAACGCTGCGACCCCTCGACACAGCTCATGTCTGTGGGCGCATCTGCACGCGGGCAGATCCGCCTGGAGACGGACAGAGGAGCGGTGTCTCGGTTCCTAAGACCACCGGAAATATGTTTCCTGATGGTCTTAGGCGACCCCTGTGAAAGGGTCGTTCGACCCCCAAAGGGGTCGCGACCCACAGGTTGAGAACTGCTGGTCTAGAGTATCTACTAAAAGAAAATAAATGGTGCGTGACCTCTAAATTAGAACCAGAAAATGGAAGGTGAGCATCAACGATTCCAAAATAAGGCAAGAAACACAGAAAAAGTTCGACAGTCCAAAATAAGATGTAGAACGTATAAATCTAACTATACCACCAACTACAATAAATATAAATGGACTCATTGTAAGAAAATGTCCATCTGCATTTTTTAAATCTAGCTCTATGCCATTTCAACAAACATCCCCAAACTATGGATTTATAGAGAGGCTCAGAGCTCAAAGTAGACAAGAAATCTGGTTGTATCGATACCAAGCCAAGTTAATTTTAAGGCAAAAAGCACTAATAATAGAAGTGTTGATGATCAAAAGTTTAACTCAGAAGGAAAATAAAAATTGTAAACTTGTATGCTCCTAGTAACAGAGCTTCAAAATCTATAAAGTACACTGAGCCCTCGACGGCTGCAGGCTTCACAAGTCAGGCTGTTACGTCACAAATGGCACGACCGTCCGGGAGCAGGACTGGCAGTTTCCTGTGGCGGACCAGAGACCACGTGTGCTGGGCCTCCTACCACACAGCTCTGCCACGGCGAGAGCGTGGCCACAGACAACTCGTAAAAGAGCGAGTGCGGTTACGCTGCAATAAAACTTAATTTATAGACACTGAAGTCTGAGTGTCATGTAATTACCATGTATCCTAAAAACTCGGTTTTTCAATCCTATAAAAACGTAAAACCATTCTCAGTTCCCAGATTTTAAGGAAAACAGGCAGAGGGCCAGGTCTGCCCCTCGGACAGCTCGCCAGCCCTGGCCCCCGGGGACCGGCCGCCACTCTGCAGTGGCCTTGTCAAACCGTGGGAGGTCCTTCATGTGTATTTTAGGGAGCCACAATGACAAGCTCAGAACAGTACCCTAAATAAGACTGCTGTTTCTGGGGAAGAAACAAAAATTCAGAGAGTTCCTCATTCCTCACACATGCCGCTCCTACTCCTTCTCGCACCCGGAGCCTCGGGGTCCCAGAGGCAGGTGCTGGCAAAACCGCTCGGTGCCTGGTCACTGCTGCTTGTGGGGTGTTTGATTCAGGGCTGAGGTCTGACACTAGAAATTCTCACTCACTAAGAAGCGTGACTGCGGATGCTGAGCTGTACCACACGACGCAAAACGTCAGACGTTTCAATGACCAGAAAATCCAGCTCGGCCGGTGTGGCTCAGTGGTTGAGCGTCGACCCTGCACCAAGAGGCCACCAGTTCGATTCCCGGTCAGGGCTCATGCCCAGGTTGTGGGCCCGATCCCCAGTGGGGGGCCTGCAGGAGGCGGCCCATCGATGTTCTCTCTCATTGATGTTTCTATCTGTCTCCCTCTCCCTTCCTCTCTAAAAAAAATAAAAAATAAAAAAAAATGAAAAAGACCAGAGATCTAAACAAAGAAACACAGAGGAACCACTCACGCCCGACCACAGCCGGAAATAGTCAGGGAAACCCCGACCCTAGAGAGGTTTGTGGAGGAAGCTCAGGGTGGCGGGCAGGCGGGCGTCCAGAGGCAGTTACTGGCACAGCCCGGGCAGTGTGCCAGCTGACAGGTCGGGCACAGAGCAGCCTGGGCAAATCAGCAGAGGCGGCCGACTCAGGCCCCGCTGGACCTCCCTCCAGACCAGCCCTCCTCCCGCCAGAGTTCTCCGGTTGAACACATCAGTGAGAGCAGACCGGAGGCTACAGCTGTGCCTCGCTTGACCAGGCCAGTAAGTAAATCACGTACCAACATTCTAGACCTGGGAATTTTACATCCAAATCCAGATTTTGGCTTCTTTTTCAAAAACCAAACTCTTAGCACAGTGGAGACCCCCCCCCCCCCCGCCAAATGGACAAACAGCAGCTGCCCCCTTGGACCAGCGTGACCGGGAGGGGTCGCGGGGTGGGGTGATGTGTCCCTCTGGGTGGCTGCCTCACCGCATTGCCTGCCCAGCTGTCCACTGAGTGTCCACCCCAGATCAGGGGCTGACGTGCGCCAGGGCAAAGGTCACGAGTCCCCTGTGACCCTGCTTCCAAGGCCACGTGGTGGCCCTGTGGCCAGGGCTCCAGCTGCCCCGGAGCGAAGGAGGGAGGAATGGGGCACCCGTCCCCGGGGGACCCTGGTGTGCAGCTCGGTCCACGTACCTGGAGACCCAAAGTACCTGAGGGTCACCTCTTGCGTCTTCGCCTCCCCGGCCGCGTTCTTCGCCATGCACTGGTAGACGCCCTGGTCCGTCTCCCGCGTGTTCTGGATCATCAGGGTCCCATCGTCCAGCAAGTTCAGGCGGGAGTCTGTCTTCATGCTCAGCTCGTTGCTGCAGAGACAGAAGCAGGTGAGCTCAGGTTCTCCGAGCAGAGGTTCTGTCCCGGCACCAACGCCGGCCTCAGGAGGCCCCGGGCGCGAGGGGGGACTGGGGGGGCGGGGCCGTCTCCCAGGAACTTTCCTTCCCCGACAGCCCCTGACCCACCTGGTGTTTCTGGGCAAAGCACCTGGGGTTTCACTGCTAATTACCTCAAACACCTGTTTACTTTAGGTGCAATCGATAAAGATTTAAAAGGACTAAAATGGTCCTCATTCCAAAGGGGAAAATGGGCACAGTAGAAAAACAAAAACAACCTTCTCCTTTGTTTCTGGCAAATTCACTGAAGACAACAGGGTAGAAACACTTATGTCATGAAAAGCAAATGATCCCATAAACTGACGAGCGCAGCCGCTGCTGTTTGGAGCACAGAGACCTGGGGTGCCCGGTCCAAAGGCACCTGCCCTGCCCCACCCCTTCCTCACGCTCTCGTCTACCTCAACACCCCCAAAATAAAATCCGTCCTCCTTCACCAGGGGTTCTGGTTGGAGGCAACAGTCACTCAGGCCCCGAGATAGACTCACTGATGTGGCCCAGCCCCCCCGCCCCCCGACACTTGAGCCAGTGGGCGAGGCTAACACCTGACTCACTTGTTTCGCAGCCAGATGATCTCGGGTTTGGGGTTGCCCTCAGCTCTGCAGGTGAAGAACACAGTGTTCCCCAGGGTGACATCGGCGTCCTGGGGCTCGGACGTGATCCGGGGCCTTTCTGTGCCAACAAGGAGCAGAGACCTCCTGGGTCGTAACCTCGGAAAACAGGGCCCGACCCCACCCTTGACGTCCAGAGCAAATCGCAGATGCTCGAGCTGTATCTCAACCTCGAACATCCCCACAGGCCTGGGGGCAGCTTCTCCCCGGAGACCCTCGCACAGGCCGATCTCGTGTGTCCAGCTCAGAGCCGGCCGACCCTGTGCAGACCGCGGACCCGCAAGGAACGGGTTCTAGTGAGATGAAAACGCAAAACCAACCCGGCTCGGCCGCAGCAGCCCTGAGCGCGGGAGCCACACCAGGCGGCAGGCGGCCGAGGGACGAGGGAGGACGTGCAATGACGTGGTGGTGGGCTTAGTTACGAAATGTATTGGTTATTCATTTTCACCGTTTGCCTTCACCACGTAAAAAATGATGATGCTTTGGAAGAACAACTAAAAAAATGGTTTTAGCACCCCCTCCCCCAACGGAGGACTAAAATGGCAAGAAACTCCTGGGATTTAGGAGGAAGATGAGGCCCTGCCACGCGGTTTGGTCTGGCTGCCCTGCCCTGGTTGTGTCGGGGTTTCCCGTGTGGAGACCTCGACTCGCACCCGCCAGGCCACCGCCCGGCCCTCGGTGCAGAGCCCGCCCCGCCCCGCCCCGCCCCACCCCGCGCCACCCTGGGGTCCTGTCCAAGCAGCTGCCCGCAAGGGGGCAGCGGGGGGCAGTATTCACTCTGCTACTTTTCGTAGGCGCCCCCAAAACAAAGTCCACGTTTTTAACAGCAGCTTCTCGCGACGCTGGAGACGCCGCGCGGCCGCCCTCTGCAGCCGGCCCGCTCACCACAGTCCAGCTCCTCGGGGGCCACGGTAGCCACCGACCGGCCCTGCAGGCGCCGTGGGTGCTCACAGGTGGCGGCCGCCTGCGCGTTGCCCGACCGGGCGTAGGTTCTCAGCAGGTCCGCCAGCCACAGGATCTCACAGTCGCAGCGGAGTGCGTTCGAGTCCAGGCGCCTGCGAAAGGACCAGACGCGGGGTCGGCGTCCTGGGACTCCGCTGCCCCGGACACTGCTGCCTGTGACCCAGCGGGGCCTGCGCCGGCCCTCAGCACCACCGTGGATGGGTCCGGACAGGGTCCGGACGGGCCTGCTGACCCCGCCACGCAGCACAGACCTCGCAGTGGGAGCTGCCCGGAAAGTACGCGTGACGCAGGACACCCGCCCCCAGCGGCCTGGCACAGGGGCTCCCCAGGGAAGATCGCTACGGATGCGGGGCGCCACGGCTGTGACGGGGGTGAGGGGTGGGGTGCCCGGCAGGCGGGCTCCTAGGAAACCCGCTCAGGCAGGGGCCGCCTCCCTCCACCGAGGGGGGCTCACGGGCCAGAGCTAGGGTGCAGGAAGCACAGGGTGGAGCCCTCCGAGTTCACACTCAGGTCCAGGGCCTCAGGGACCCCGAGGCTGTGACATCACACCTCCCAACTGCCACCTGCCTATCCCCAGGACTCAGGTTCCCAGGGGAACCGTGGGCGGAACTGGTCCCCACCTGAACTGTCATTTCTCTGAGGACCCCCCACGGGGAAATCTGGGCTCAGTGCAGACAGAACCGCCCCACTGTGCCAGGACCTCTCTGGGAGGAGGCCGTGGGGAGCAGGGGGCTCCAATGGGCTGGGGCACACGCCGGGCTCCCTCCGACCCCACAGCCCCTCTGCATAGCGCGGCCTCTGTTCGGGGCGGGCCACGGGGCAGCGGTGAACGGGAAGGGTGAGATCAGCTCTGGGGCCTCCTGGAAACGGGGCCAGACACCCCGTGTTCTCCCTTCTGGGGTCAGCCTCCAGGGGAGGGACAGAGGACGAAGCCTGCCAAGTCTGCACTCCCCTCTGGCATCTGGGGTGAGAAGAGAAAATTCTCTGAGGCCTTGAAACCTGGGCTTTCATAGATTGAGCAAAGTCGGGGAGCAGACAGCGCAGAGAGAGTATCAAGGCTGAAGGATGGGCCTGTCTGCAAAGGGCTGGACTTGAGAAAGCAGCTGTCGGCACTTCTGAGACCCGCTGACCCGCCTGCCTGCCCTGAGCTGCCCGGTCCCTCCGGGCGGTCTCTGTGCTTCTCTCTCATCCGTCAGTATGTGGACTCGTCACGCCTCCCCCGAGAATGTGCATGTTAGTTTGGCTGGTGACTGCTTTACCCTAAAGGCGGAAATTATAAATAATGAAAGTCCATCTTATTTCTGCAGTCCAGCCTGTTGTACACCCAGTGACAGCCAACCAGAACCAGCCTTCGAACCCAAGAGGGAAAACACACGTCAGCACTGAGGTCCCCTGGTTCTAGCGTATCACCCGGGATGAGAAAACTATTCTAGAGGCCTTGGAACATCGGGTAAACCCAGTCTACCTCTGCGCTCATGGACGTGCACACGCACACACAGGTGTGGCCCTCGGCGCGAGGGTCCTTGTACACTGACTGCATTTCCACCAGCGACATGAATTGAAATCAAGGTGAGAAATTTGAAATGGATTTTAAAATGCCTTGTTCACCTATTAAAAAAATAACCAACTGTCACACGCTAGGCCACCTCGGTTCCGTTCCGCCTTCTGATGGGTGGGATCCACCTCCTCAGGGGGGTTCTGTCTGCTAATCTGTATTCAGATAGTGGCACACACCTCATGGCAGCAGGACGCAGGCGGGGTGGGAGCTTAGGAACACAGCCCCCAGGGGTCCACTTACAGTCTTTTCATGGATTCCAAGTGGTTAAACGTTCCTGGGACCAAATGTGCAATTCGGTTGTTGTGTAAAAATCTGCCGAGAGAGACAGTACAAGAACCAGCTTTTAAAAATGTTCAGAACTGACTACAAGCAGTCGAAGAAATCTGCTGTTTGAATCGCAGCGACTGCGCTTATTCGACACCGATGAAAGAGTGTGTCCGGAAGAGAAGTAGACACTTTCCTGTTTGACCACCGTTCCCACAAAGAGAAGAGCGTCGCTCTTCCTCCAACTGCTCAACCAGGAGCGCAGGAGTGACACCCAGGCCACGATCAGGAGTTTTAACAATGATGGAACCTCTAGCACAGCGGATGGTGGAGCCCCGCCCCTGCCGGCCCCGCCCACCATGCGCCCCCCTGTCCGCCCCGCCCCCCCGCCCACCGTGCGCCCCCCCGCCCCACCCCGCCCCTCCCCCCAGGGCCGGTGAAGGTCAGAGCAGGACTCACAGCCTCTCCAGCTTGGGCAGATGTTGAAAGGACTGGGGGTCCAGACTCTCTATCTGGTTGAAGTGCAGGTATCTAGACAAGTTAAAGAAAGAAGCCATTTAAATGATGTTAATTACTTTTCAAGGGTCTAGATTTCCAGCCCCAGTTGGTTCTCTACAGTCTTTTCAAATTCATCCGTCAGGAGGGTCACTAGGTTTTCTGCGCTGCGGGAACCTACAAAGCAATGGACTAGAGGGTCTGACTACAACGCAAAACCGGGACCCACTCTGCATGACCAGGGGACGGCGGCATGGGTCAGACACCCTGGCCGCGTCCCCCCACACCCAGGAAGAGGGGTTCGGGCGTGACTGCTCACCACTGACTGAGTTTCAAGATCTCTGGACCCTTCTGGATTAAAAGCCAGCACATTCCTAACTGTGGCCCGTGCAGGTGTGTGAACACCTTCCTGCCAGTCTGCTCACGCGGGGCCCGGGCAGGGTGGTCCGCGTGGGGGGTACCGTCAGCTACAGAAGCTCCTGGACTCGGGAAAGGGAGAGGCCTGAATCCAGGGACCCCGAGTCTGGGCTTCTCTGCGTGTAGGCTGCTTCCTTCTGATTCCCCTAAATACTGCTCTTCTCACTTTGAAAACTGGTGGGTTTTTCCTTCAGTAACGTCACCTTCTGGGTGCTTCTGCCAGGAGCCCCTCCAATCCACGCAGCAGGGGGTCCCCCACACGCCCTCGCTCGTGCACCCTCCCCACCGAGCACGCTTTTGTTTTGTTTTTGTTTTTGTTTTTTTATCCTCACCCAATGACGCTTTTGCGTTTATCTTCAGGTAGAGCAGGAGGGAGAGAGGGAGGAAGAGAGAGAGAAACGTCGATGTGAGAGAGACACATGGAGTGGCTGCCACCCGCACGACCCCAACCGGGGCCGGGGACAAACTGCAACCGAGGTCCGTGCCCTCAGCGGGAACAAACCCAAGACTCTCTGGTCCGCGGGCCAACATCTAACCGCTGGGCCAGACTGGCCGGGCCCGAGCACATGTTTCAGATGCCAGGCTCGTCAGAGCCCGGAACCCCCCGCAGTGCCCGTCACAGCACCAGCGGCCCGGGTCTTTCTGCAGACAGAGGACAGCATCTCTGAGCCCCCCCATCATCAGACGCCAACATATCTCAGTCACTGGAGCCCCGAGGTCACCGTGTCGACTGCCCTGCTGGTGCCCGGGTGCCCCGCCAGCTCACTGGGACACCCACAGACGGGGACTCTGAGTCTCTGAGGAGAGTGGGGACTCAGGGCTCAGGGCTCAGGGCCAGGGCACCGCAGCCTACGGCGCCCCTCCCCCAGCCTCTGTCACCCCGGTGCCTGAAGGAGCCGGAATCAAACAAGAATCTCCCGTACCACCCTGGGCAGCTGGGACGGGCAGCCGGGCAGACATGCTCAGAGGGATCGGGGGCCAGCGGGCAGGCAGGACGCCCATCATGCGTGAAACCGACCGAGGGGAGGAACGGGGAGATGTTCCAGTCCTACACCGACGGCCCCACTCAGGTGGGCCAGGGAGAGGGCCACGCGGGCTGTGGGGTCCTGGTCTGAACACAGCCAGGGGTGTCCAGGTACAGGCAGCCTGGGGCCAGCCACACTCCCCACAGCGGAGGAAACCACGGACCACGGACAGGCAGTGAGCCACCAATTCTAACCCGTGTTTCCGGACCACGGCCAGGCTTGTGTGCTGCCTATGACCCCACACTTGGGGCAGCAGTCAGAGCAGAGGCCCCGCAGGGCCCAGGGGCCTGGGGCTTGGTTCTCCCTCCTACCCACCTGCTCTAGGGGCTTGACCCGTTCAGTCTCTCCTTCGACTGGGCGAGCGCACCCTTCAAGGTGGATCTGGGGGGCTCCCCAGGAGGGGCAGTCAGGCAACGTCTGGGCAACTTAAAGCCCCTGCCGAGACCCAAAGCCCTGTACACGGCAGGGGCGCATGTGCCCCAGCTCTGGGTGGGACGCCCACGTCCCCCTACAGAGGTCCCTCCCTAGAAGCGGGACCAGTCCTGTGTCCTCATCCCCGAGCCTCAGCGATGTCCCCAGGGGTGTGGAAGTCCTGCCAGCACAGACCCCTGACCCCCTAACCCTGGGTTTCGAGGCGGCCTGGCTGGGCTGCACCCCCACTCGGGACGCCCGTCAGAAAACCCTGCTCAGGCCTCAGAGAAGCTGAGCCTCCTCCTTCCGTGGAGACAGCTGTGCTGGCCTTGGCCGGGTTGTTCAGCGGTTAGAGCACCGGCCCTTGGACAGAGGGTCTGGGTTCAATTCTGGTCAAGGGCACGTGCCTGGGTTGTGGGTTCAATCCTGGGCCTGGCTGGGGTCGTGCGGGAGACAACCAACGGATGTGTCTCTCTCACATCGATGTCTCTCTCTCCCCCCCTTCCTCCTATTCTCTCTAAACTCAATAGAAACAATGTTCTTCAGTGAGATGGACAAAAAGGTAGCTCGCTCCCCCCAAGGTGGACGAGCACCCCCAGTTCTCCATCGTTTCTGCTCCGAGGGTCTTCCGGCCCCACTCACTAAGAACTGGTTTCTCTGTCCCCTCTCCCCCACCTGGTGTTTCCAGAAATCTCCGTGTTTCTGCGATGACCTGAACTGTCCTCCCGAGCAGACCGCACAGTCTGCAGCGCGGTGGCCGAGCCCGCGCCGTGAGCACCAGCTCAGGACAGCAGCTCGCACCCGGGCGGGTGCACGCTCCTTGGGGAACGGCCCAGTGGGGGTTCCGGACGGACCGCCCTGGCTCTGCCCAGAGGCGTCCCCGGGCCCCGACAGCCCCGGGCAGACACAGCCGAGGCCACAGCACCGGGCGTGAGGTGGCTGCGGCCGACAGCTGCCCCGTCCCTGGAGTAGAACTGTCACAGCTCAAAGACGCTCAGAACGGCTTCAGCTCAGCCACGACACGGTGACCCGCCGAGCAAACCAACCAGAAAAACTGCTCTCACCAGGAACTCGACCTGAAAGGGAACACGCTGACTTCACAGCGAGGTGGGACTTCCTACGCAGCCAGAGACAGAAATAGCGTCCTACGCACGCTAACCAGAAACACATGGACACTTCAGTTTCTCCGAAGTAATGACATCATGCACGAAAAAGCGGACAGCAGACTCACAAACAGGAAACAGGACAATGACTACTGCTCCTGGGCCCCACGGCCCCCCCCCACCCCGAGGACCTCGACTTGCTGGGGCTGGTTTGCAAGTCCGTCTCCTTTGCGTCAGGGCACCGGGGTCAGGGGCTGGTCCAGTCACCGCCTGCGTCACCAGGGCAGGGCCCAGGGCCCGGGGACAGTGGAGACCTGTGATGTCCACCACGGACGGACGGGGGGGACAGACAGTCACGTTGCTCGAGGCCAGCGTGGCGGGCCCGCATGCACCCCACGGCCCACACGGACAGCATGCGTCATGCACACAGCGAACTGTTTCCCTGCGGGGGGTGGGCGAGACCGGCGAAGCCGAGAGCATCTGCGGGCCACTTACAGTTGTTCTAGAGAGGAAAGTCCCTGAAACGCTTGCCTGTCAACCGACTGGATCTCATTCTTGTACAGATAGCTGAAACAAGAAACAGGGGTTAGAGGCGCAGCCGGGGACGCCGGCCCCCGCTCAGGGCTCCCACTCGGCGGTCGGACGAGGCCGCGGGGACGCGGACGATCCCACTCGCGGGGCCCTCTCCGTGTTCAGAGGGAGTGAGGTGCCCACGCCCTAAGAGTCCCTGCAACTCCTCTGCTTAAGACCCTGAAGGAAAAGAAACCGTCGTCTCTGCAGAGCGACACGGGCTGTTGGCACAGTTTACAACTGACGCGGTTTTAAAATAATCCGGAAGTGACGTGAGGTGTTGAGGATGCGGAGACTGACCGTGCCTTGAACTCCTCGCCGCCCAGAACCCCCTTCTCACAAAACTGAGCAGCGGAGACCCGTGAGCAGCGGCGCGGAGTCGCCTCTGCTGGGTTTGGGTGTCCTGCCGGCCAGGAATACTTTCTAAGCGTTTAAATGGTTGAAAAGTTCGAATGGAAAATAACACTTCCAGGCACATGAAGACGATGTGAAATTGCCCTGGCTGGGGGGCTCCCCTGGGTGGGGGGCTGGCCCGCACACCACAGGGCTGGGGTCTGATTCCTAGTCAGGGCTCACATGTCGGCTCAGGTTCGATCCCGGTCAGGGGTGCACGGGAAGCAGTCAATGTTCCTCCCTCTCTTCCCCTTCCTCTCTCTCTCAAATTAAAAAACAAACAAACAAACAAAACATATCCTTGGATGAGGATTAAAAGAAGTCGGTGTCCGTGACCTTCAGTGGCACCGGGCCTCGCCGCCCAAGGCCGTGGCCCCGTGGCCCTCAAGGCCCTCTGTCCTGGTCCTTCTCAGGGAAAACCTGCGGCTCGGGAAGGATGAACTGGTTGGGCAGGGTCTGTCCGTCGGTCTCCACAGGACTTGTTGTCAGTCCTCACGTGTCTGCAGCCGGACCCTGGGGAGTCGGTGTGCCCAGCGCTCCGCAGGCAGGGACAGACCCGACCTCCGCTGCGTCCGGACCTCAGGCAGGAGCCGCTCTCGTGGTGGCCGCTCAGGGACTGGGCTTCCACCCACCTTCCACCTACTGAATCACATCGTCCCGAGCCCGTCAGACGGCACGCCTCACGTCCAGACGGACATCGTGTCCTACTGCCTTTCAGTGGCTCACGTAGGTGCCGGGCCCCGTTTAGTAGGACCCACGCTGCTCCCGGGGACCGTCACAACCCCTCCGAGAGAACTTGCTGGGATACCCTCACAATGAATCACAAGCTTGACAAACGGGTCGGAACCCCCCACCAAGAGGCAGCCCGCGCCGCGACAGAGGCCGGGCCTGCGGCTCCTGGGCCTGGTCCTGGCTGCTCTTACGAGCCACGTGGTCTGCAGTGGACAGGGGCCCTTCCTGCCTCGGTTTCCTCCAGGGGAAGTGGAGCGGACACAGGGCTCACAGGGTCACCGCGATTCAATAAACACACACAAGCTCGGAGCAGGGTCCCGCTGGGTGCAGGTGTGAGCGACAACTCCTAGAGGTGGGCCTGTCTGCACTTCCTAACCACCAAACGGAACAGCACGACCATCTTCTGCAGGAACTTTAACAAAGGCAGAGCGAGGAGCCCTCGGAAAGACTGCGTGCACCCGCGCCAACCTAACACGCACGGTGCCCGTCGGTAACACTGCGGCACAACTCGTTTTCGTAAGAGCCACTGGGCACTGATCACCTTCCGGTAATAATTCTGCACAAGGCTCTGCCATCTGACGTGTGAACTGCGTCCTCAGAAAACACCGAGGCCGGGAAGCTCTGTGCCTTACCCGACGTCCTTGGGGTGCAGCAGGTGGGGCCCTCAGCCCCTGAACACACAGTTCGGCACTGACCACAGCAGGCTGAAGCAGTCCATACATTTCACAGCCTTGGCAGACAGGAAGACTACACCGCCACATGGCCCCGAAACTCTGCTCCCCAAATGCTCTCCAGGGAGGGCTGTGGGGCTCGGAGAAGGAGCTGGGACCTGGGAGTAGCTGGAGAGCGGGGTCCCCGGGACCCCTTCGGGTCACTGCCCATCCTGCTCACCACAGTCCACAGCCTCTCTTCCCCGACCACTGCTCCGCCCGTCCCACGCCCCATGCACCTGCCGGTGGTGGCCTCACCGGTGATTTTGGGTGGAGACAGAGGAAGGTTGGGGGTCCGAGCCTGAGTGAGCTGGTCAGTGCACCAGGTTATCTGGACTGAATAACAAAGCAGCCCAAACTCCTGAACGTTAAATCGATTTGCAAAGTCGATAGTAAGTAGCTCGTAAGTCATGCAAAGCAAACTAAATATGAAATGGAAACGAGCTGACCACTCCGAGTGCAGCGGTCCGAGCACTGACCCTGCTGTCCCTGGCCCTGCGTGGCGCTCACACAGAAAACAGCGACAGTGCGAAGAAACAAACGAGAAGTAGGAAAACAGAGGGGACCAGCCCCTGGTTTTAAAAACAAATAACAAGCTTGGTGATGTTCACCCGGAATTGAAAGTTAACGCACTACGCCAAAAGGGACGAAGAAACACGTCTACATGTTACGCTTTCAAGTGAGACACATTGTAACAAAAGGACAACCGTCAGCTCTGGAGCTAAGAACCACTAACATCTAAAGTCCAACCGATTCTAAAATGTGCGTCAACACCGGCAGAGTAAGGTCAAGTCGTCCAGGTTCACGGACAACATAAATTTTCCCAAACAGAGCAGAAAAGCAGGAATACAAATCCCTCATTAAAATGGCTCCAATTCAAACAGGTGTAAGTCCTCAAAGGAAGAAAAGTTTTGTCCAAAGCACACGACACACACTTCCGACCCGCCCGGACCAGGAACGGCCGGGAGCGGTCTGCCTTCTGCTCCAAGTCCGCAGTCCCGTCCCGAAGGCAGGAAAACTCACGCCCCCGCCAGGTCATTTCCCAAACTGCAAAACTCACCTCGGCAGGCAGACGGTTTCAGGGCTAATAAAGGAATTAATGACCATCTGTTTCCAAATTAAACTGCACAACAAGAAGAGGTGAGTCACCCGGAGGAGGGAGGGGAAGGGAACCGGGAGTTGTGACGTCCGCAGGCCGGTGCTCCTGCTCACGCTGGGAACACCCTCCCCAGTGCCCTGAACGCGGACACGTTGCAAAGCTGAACTGAAGGGCAACTCCCATCCCAAGCGGTGCCCGTATTACAGCAGAATGACGTTCAGAGCCCATGAATTCTAATGTCATTCAACCTACTTTTCTGAGGGCAGCCGCTAAACACAGAAACGACAGCTCTCTGCTCAGGACAGAACCCCGGCCACAGCGTCGCGGGCCTTCTGGGAAGGAACCCTCGGTACCACGGATGTCTTTACAACGCTTCCTAACGGGACGAGTCGGCTCAGCAACAAAATGTCCCGCACGTCAGTAACGTAAGCTTTGAATAAAGAGCTGATGGTTCAACTTACAGATATTTCAAATTCTCCAAGTCCTCAAAGGCGCCAGCCGGTATGCTCTTGATCTGGTTGTTGTTGAGAAGCCTAGAAAAGAAGTTCTCGGTGAGCATTCCAAACGCAACACCTGTGAACCCCCACGAGCGCGTCCCCAGCCTTGCGCCAGGTCACAGATGGCTCCTCCACAGAACGTAGCATCAACATTCACTAAACACCCAGTTAGCACACAAATGTGCGGCACCCAGAGTTTCACCTTCGTGATGCCACGTTTTCTCGAGAAACGGGCGTCGGTGACCCACCCCCGCCCCCAGACAGCGGACACCGCTCTGTCCCCGTCTCTGGGCTCTGCCCCTCAGCAGGGCTGCGGCCAGCGTGGGGCCCGAGGTGTGAGAACCACGGTGTGTGTGTTGGCTGCTGGGACTTACAATGTGTTCAAGTTTCTCAGCCTCCTGAAGGCTCCAGGCTGGATGTCTCTGATCCTGTTGAAGCGGAGGTCCCTGGGGACAGAGGAGACACGGTTTAGAGAGACATCGGTGCCCGTCGCCTTTCTGCGCGTCGGTAAATGCTGAGTTTCAAAACGGGGGAGGCATCCTAGCCGGTGTGGCTCCGTGGTTAGAAGGTCGGCCCCACGCACAGCAGGGTCTCAGGTTCGATTCCTGGTCAAGGGCACGCACCTGGGTTTCAGGTTTGATCCCCCGCCCTGGTTGGGGCATCGAAGGGAGACAACCAGTCGATGTGTCTCTCACATCGATGTTTCTCTCTCTCTCCTCCCCTCCCTGCCTTCCACTCTCTCGAAAAACCAACGGGAAGAATACCCTCGGGGAAGGAGGAACAACAAAGAAACGAAATGGAGTCAGCCCCGGCCAGTCTGGCTCAGCGGTTACAGCGTCAGCCCGCGGAACAAAGAGTTGCGGGGTCAGCTCCGGTCAAGGGCATGCACCTCGGTTGCAGTTCATCCCGTCCTGGTCGGTGTCTCTCTCACGTCACTGTTTCTCTCTCCCCCACGGCACTACTCTATCTGAAGATAAACGGAAAAAATATCCTCGGGTGAGGATTTAAGAAAACAAAAACAGAACAAAGAAGTGGATCCGCATAGCTCATTCCTCCGATGAATCACCTCTCGCTGAGGTTGCTTCACACGGGGTGTTTTTTTTTTTTATTCCTCACCTGAGGATATTTTTCTATTTATCATCAGATAGAGTGAGTGGGAGGGAGGGAGAGCCAGGAACATTGACGTGAGAGACACCGACGGGTCGCCTCCTGCACAACCCGACCAGGGCTGGGGACGAACAGCAACCACGGTACACGCCCTTGACCGGAACTGAACCGGCAACTCATGGGTCTGTGGGCTGACGCTCTAACCACTGGGCCACACCGGCCAGGGCAACACAGGACTCTGCCCGAACAATGGGACACGTTTGTCCAGGCAGCTATTCCGGGGAAATGAAAGTGACACTGACTGCCCACGGGCTCGCCTCGCCGCCCGAGCCCTCAGGCGCTCACTCCAGAGCTCACGGGCTGGAGCGGGCTGACCATTGCTGACCACGTGCGGCGTCTCCTCGGGGAGGAAGGCGAATGCGTGGACCCGACCTCCAGCGCCGGCCGGGCTTTCTTCGTCGGCTAAATGTGCACCTGTTCTGTACTGTTCGGGGACAACGGAAGGACCTGAACTGCCAGGAGCCCAGAGCGAATGACAGGTGGGCACGGACACGGAGCGGCCACTCCGTCCGCTGAGCGGCCGGGGCTCTGAGCCTGGCCAGGAGCCGGGACACAGGCGGGCACAGATGTGATTTCACCTCCTCCAGCGTGAAGTAAAACAGAAACAATGAACAAGAATGAAAGGCGCTGAAAACAAACAGAAAGACCACTTTCTTTCTCGGAGACTCAGAAAAATTAAAATTCCTCACTCGTACGTTGAACCCCTTCCAACAGTCTGATGGGCATGAGTACGGGTTTGACTGTGTCCCCCCAAATTCTCATGCTGAAGTCCTACCCCCAGGGCCTCAGAATGTGACCTTATTTGGAGACAGAGCCCTCACAGGGCTGACGAGGTAAGAACGAGGTCGCTGGGGTGGGCACCAACCCAAGGCGACGCGTGTGCTCACAGAAGGGGATTTTGGAGACTCACGCAGGGAGAACCCTGTGAAGACTGGGGCTTTTCTCCAACACACCGAGGAGGCCGAGACTGGCTGGCGACCAGCAGAAGCTGGGGGAGCGGGCCGGAGTCCTCGAGCCTCAGAGGGACCATCCCTGCCCACGCTGGACCTCAGCACCCAGCCCCCAAGCCGAGAGGTCACACATCTCTGCAGACCGCCTGCAGGAGCGGATATGGGCCCCGGGCAGCTTCGGTCTGAGCCACGAAGGGATGTTTCTCTTACGACACTGACTGAGTCCGTGCAGCGTCCACAGTCTTCTCGGGAATGCGGTTATTTTCAGCCACTTTAGTCATCGTGAATGATTTACAGACTTGGTTCCAGTTTGTGAAGCGCTGAGAGGCCCCTGCAGAGCACGTCTGAGCCACGGAGCCCGCGCCTGGCTCCGGAGCTGTGGGCACGAGCCGTCGGGGTCTCAGGAGGGGCGGCTCTCTGCCTACCCAGCACCCCTGGCTGGCTGCTTGCTTCGGGGGTGATCCCCAGGAACACCCTCCCCTGCACTGACATGTGTCCTCAAACAAATGGGAATGTGACTGCAGACGAGCCGGAGCGACGGGAGGGCCTCGCGGGAACTCGGACCCCTGCCCAAGAGACCAGAAGAAGCTCTCACCCGAGCAGCCCGGGTCCTCAGCACCGAGCAGGTGAGCCCAGGCCGACACCACACACAAGGCCCGAACGCTGGACACGCTGCAGCTGACAGCAAAACCAGACCTGACCCGTCTAACCAGGGACACTCTCAGGGGAATCGTATTTGCCAGCAACACAGCGGATAAGGGGCTAATTCCCAAAATATGTAGAGTATGCACACAGCTCAGCAAAAGGAAGACAACCCAATTAAAAAATGGGCAGAGAGGCTGAACAGACACCTCTCCAAACAGGACATACAGATGGCCAAGGCACATATGAAGAAATGCTCAACATCACTCATCATCACTAATCATCAGAGAGATGCAAATTAAAACAACAATGAGGTATCACCTCGCACCTGTCAGAATGGCCGCTATTAACAAATCATCAAACAATTAGTGTTGGCGAGGGTGTGGAGAAAAGGGGACTCTAGTACACTGCTGGTGGGAATGCAGACTGGTGCAGCGACTGTGGAATACACTATGGTGTTACCTCAAAAAATTAAAAATTGAACTGCCATTTGACCCAGTGATCCCGCTTCTAGGAATACACCTTAAGAAGCCTGAAACACCAATCAGAAAGAATACATGTACCCCCATGTTTGTAGCAGCACTATTTACAATAGCTAAGATCTGGAAACAGCCCAAGTGTCCATCAGTAGACGAATGGATAAGAAAGCTGTGGTACATATACACTATGGAGTACTATGCAGCTGTGAGAAAGAAAGATCTCTTATCCTTAGAGACGACATGGAGGGACCTGGAGAGTATTATCCTAAGTGAAACAAGCCAAGCAGAAAAAGACAAATACCACGTGATCTCACTTATTTGTGGAATATAATGAACAAAATAAGCTGATGATCAGAACAGGCCCAGAGGGGACTCTCAGAGGAAAGGGGGGTCGGCAGGTGGAATAAACCAAAGGACTGACACGCGTAACCAATGGACACAGACACTGCGGTGAAGGCAGGTGGGGAGTGGTGGGGTCAGTGGGGAAAAAAAGGGGGAATGTCTGTAATACTCCCAATAAAGGTGAAAACAAAAAAGAACTGAGCTGCCTTCGGCCACCAAACAAGCCCAGCAAACCTGAGAGTCACGCAGCGTGTTCTCTGGCTGCGGTGGGACCCACTGGAAATCACAGGCCATGGCCAAAGTCAACGCAAGTGCAGCACCGAGACGTGTGGGCCCGACCACAGCAGGCCGAGGCCACACGCCAGGAAGAGCCGAGGCTCCAGCCGGTGACGTAAGCGCCCACTCCCCCTGAAACGGAAAGGTGAAAAGTCAGGACGGTCTGAGACAACTTTGGAAACAGTGCAGACCAGCAGGAATGACTCTCGGAGGGCAGGACTCGCTGTCGCCGTGGGGACCGAGGCGGTGAGGGGCAGAGGGCAGACCCGGCTGGTGGCGCTGGACAGGACAGGCCTCACCCAAAGTATCCGGGTCCTTTGGGGAGGAAGCCTAGAGCCTTAGGCCTGGCCTGACCCCTGGGTGTTGGACTTCTGGCCCCACAATGGAACAACTTTCTGTTGCTTTAAGTCAAAATCAAAAACAAAAACACTTGAAGTCCAGCAGGACGTCCGTGATCGCCCACAGATGCCGGCACCCACTCCCCATAAAACCCCAAATGACAGAGGGGTCAGTAGCAGGAACCATGTGGAAACCGGATGGCAAACAGAGGAGGGACGCGGACCCGAGCCGGCTATAGGCCGGCCTCCCGAGGGCGCCAGCCCACCCCAGGCCTGACGTCGGTGCCCACACACCTCAGGCAGGGACAGGAGGTGGGGTGGGGAGCCGCAGCCCCGCCCACCTGGCTCTGAGCCCCGGGCGGCCAGTCTGGGTCCAGGTGAGTGGTCCTGACAATGCTGGGCAGATCTCCCTGACCGCACACAGAAGCTGGAAGTCAGCCCTGGCCGGTCTGGCTCCGCGGTGAGAGCGTTGGCCCGAGGACCAGAGAGACCCGGGTTCGGTTCCCGCTAAGGGCATGTACCTCGGTTGCAGTTTGTCCCCGGCCCCGGTTGGGGTCATGCGGGTGGCAGCCACTCGATGTGTCTCTTTCACATCGATGTTTCTCTCTCTTCCTCCCGCTCGCCCTCCCGTTCTATCTGAGGATATGTGCAAAAATGTCCTCGGGTGAGGATAAAAAAAAAAGATGGAATTCACTATCACTGATAAACCTACATATTGATTACGTGCTGAAATATGGTGAAGGCAGGAGGGGAGGGGGGAGTGGGGGGGTGGGGGTCAGTGGAGATGAAAGGGGACGGACACACAGGAGTTACAGTCCTAGTAAAATTAACCTGCTTATAACTTTTTAGTGAAACTACCAGAAAATTAAAAATTCTGTAAGTGGGTCACACTGTGTTTCTTTGGGCAGCACAAGTCTAGGCTATTTCACCGCCTATTACAGTCCGATCGCAGCCCCCCCCCCAGCCAGACAGCTGGGACCCCCCCCTGCCAGCCCAGGGAGGGGCCCCCCAGCCAGCCCAGGGAGGGCCCCCCAGCCAGCCCAGGGAGGGGCCCCCCAGCCAGCCCAGGGAGGGCCCCCCAGCCAGCCCAGGGAGGGGCCCCCCAGTCAGCCCAGGGAGGGGCCCCCAGCCAGCCCAGGGAGGGCCCCCCAGCCAGCCCAGGGAGGGGCCCCCCAGCCAGCCCAGGGAGGGCCCCCCAGCCAGCCCAGGGAGGGCCCCCCCCAGCCAGCCCAGGGAGGGCCCCCCC